GATATCGAAACTCAAAATTTCGACTCGAAAAAAAAAACGACAGTGTTAACCCTTACGTTTTTTTTTTGGGCGAAAAATTAAGTATCCCCAATCTTCTCAAAACTCTGGATTCTGATAGAGGGCCATGAGACTTACACCTGAGTGCAAAAATGGAGGCTCTAGACCCTTCCAGAGCTGAGATATGGACATCCCACATAGCATTTATGCCATTATAAATATCTCAATATCTCAGCTCTGGAAGGGTCTAGAGCCTCCATTTTTGCACTCAGGTCTAAGTCTCATGGCCCTCTATCAGAATCCAGAGTTTCAAGAAAGTCAGAGAAACTGAAAAATTCGAGCCCAAAAAAAAAAAAAAACGACAGTGTTACCCCTGTCTCCATTAGTAGGAAATGCGGTGGTTCGTTTTTTGACTGTGACCGGTAACTTAACTTTATGCTTTTGGCTCTATTTTGGATGCCTTGTTGTTTCTTGCGTTTCACCTGTATGTCTTGAATATAGCCTTCGAATGCAAATTGCAGCCCCTTTTGTCTACTTCTATCGGACACTTTATTTGCTACTTCACAAAAGTTTGATAACATTTCAGCAGGAAGAGCTGTCACAGCATAAGCCATGCAGAGCGCAGATGAAGTTTGACGGATGTAGCAACAGTAACTAAGGGGCGCGGGGCTTAGCCAAATGTTAATTTATATTATTGATCAATTTACAATTCACTGCTTTGGTAAATCAACGAATTCAACTGAACCTATCCTTCATATCACACACATGCTGCCAAGACGGTTATTCCAATGTGTGCACTTTTACACAAGGAAGATGAAGAGTTTGCTCACTTGCCATATGGCCCGTCAACGTTTCCTGTCGGATGATAGAACGATATTGAACAGATGTTTTGTGAGTTATGATTTAGAATTAGGGATGGGCGGCGGTAGAGATTAAACAATCGCAGCCGTTTCAAGCTTTTGACAATATTACGTGTGAAATTGACTTTTGACTTATCAGTAAATGAATATATAAACTGTGTCCACAGATTACAAGAGAGTATTATGGGATCACAGAGGTCAAGGAGCTGATTCAGGGTGGGAAGAACATCGCTGTGGACAAGACCAACAGGTGCGATTGTTAGGAATATAGAGTCTGTGGTGTGTCTCTTTAAATGCAGGTCTGAAAGAGGTCATGTTGTTCCGGCCTGTGCTCCATCTTTCAGTGTCTGTCAGAGAAAGAGAGTGTCTGTGTGTGTGTTGTCAGCGGGGACAAAATTGCACAGTTTCAGAAGCTGCAGGAACAGATGGGACTGCATCAACACAAATCCAACCCAAACCACACACAAAAACATGTAAATTCACACACATTTGGGATGTATGAACAATTGTTGCCGCAATCAAGTGTGTATTTCAGGAAACACATTAAGGTGAGATGGTTAAGAATAGAAAAAGGGTTTAAGAAAATGGCGAAAGTGTTTGTTTGGATCATGCATGTGTGTTTTGTTTGCATATGTGCGTGCGTCCTGCTGTCTGACGGTGAGATTAGGCAGAGGGCCAATCATCTTGAGCTCAGATCAAGGCCCGTACACACACACACACACACAAGCTCAGATCGAGCTCTGACGAGCTCCTGAAGATATTACAGGCCTTTAGCCCAGCTCAGATTATCAATCTAAATTCACTCGCTCTGGGACGTGAGTGCATGTAAATATGTGCACTGAGTTACATTCAGCAGATATGCTTTATTTTTACTTTTTCCTCATTATTTCCTGTGATTAGATTCTAATTAGTTAGTAAAAAATTTTTATTAATAAAAGATTTATCATTAAATAACACGCATCGTCTTTATTTAACAAAAATCTTAAATCAACACAGACAATAAAAAATGCTCCAGCTAAATTTAAATAATATTTTTTTTTTTTTTTTTGAGTTTTTGAATTTTTGTGTGAGGGGTTTTTCTACAATACGGTAAGAAGAATTTAAAAAACGCTTAATTTTCTTGAAAAGTAAAAAAAAATAGAAAATGCTAGATGCAACGTTAATCAAAGATGAATATGAATCATTTTGTGTGGGTTCCTCTCTCAGGAAGGAGTTTGTCCAGGCATATCTGCAGTATGTGTTCAGCGATGCCGTACAGGAGCTGTATTCGGCTTTCTCCAGCGGGTTCCTGAAGGTCTGCGGTGGGGAGATCCTCTCTCTCTTCCAGCCCTCTGAGCTCATGGCCATGGTGGTGGGCAACAACAACTACAACTGGGAGGAGATGGAGAAGGTGGGACACACAGCCGCGCTCCGACAATTCGAAGACTGTCAGCGCCCTATTAATGTTCATATTAAACTTGAGTTTTGTTTTGTCCCAGAATGCCTCCTACAAGGGCGAGTTCTCGGCATCTCACCCAACAGTTCAGATGTTTTGGGAGGTGTTTCATGAGTTTCCCTTGGAGAAAAAAAAGCAGTTCTTGTGTAAGTACAGTTTGTGCTATTGAATATATTGAGCACCTGAAATGTACACCAGAACTATATATTGTCCATAAACTGCAGAGGAGAGACACTTCGAGTTTTGCTGAAAACTTCTTGGTTTGAAAGTGGATCTGAATTGACTGCGCCAGGCAAAAACATGGTCAATTTTGAGATTTTGGGCTATTTGAATTCAATAACATGTCGTCTTTCAGACTACACTTTGTCTGTTTGCGTGTGTAGATTTCACCTTAATTCCTCAAAAGTTGGCATTCTACGGTAAATCATCCCGCTGCTCCGTCCGTGATCGCGATCCGCACCCCGTCATCACAAACACCGCTAGAAAGCTCTCTCTCTTCTTCAATACTGTCGGATCCAAAAATGGTAATTTCCTGTTTATCAGCAACCAATCATGAAAGTAAAATGGTCCATTTAACTCGAAATGCGCAATCCCATTAAAATCTTTAAAGGCCGTTTTCTCAAAACTTTTTTTCTCACACTTCTAGTGACGATTTTCCACTTCTGTAGCACCAACACACACCAAACTTTACAGCCATATTACTAACTATATTGTGAAGGTTTGTTCAGAGGGATTTGTTGATATATCACTCTTGGCCTGATTTATATGACATTTTATGCCTAAAAATAGGGCGGAAATCTATTTTTTAAGGCTATTGCCAGTATTTACAGGGTAAAAAAAAGGAGATATTCATAATCCCCTCTGAAAATGTCTTTTCATTGAATATATCAACAAAACGCAAACATAATTTTTGAACCTTGTTTTTTTCAATGGTCAGATTAGTCACTTCAAAATATTTGCAAATTAGCGCATATTTAAGTAGATATAGCCTGATTAGCATATTTAAACATAAAATTACAGAAAACTTGCAGTGCATTTTTTTGTCCAATTTATGCGAGTAATCAACTGGTAAAGTTTCATAGTGACATCTGTAAATGAAAAATTTTATCCTATTCACCTGCGGTGTCTCGCTTTAAAACGCAGACCAAACAAGCGTTGTTTTCGTCCTCCCAACAGTGTTCTTGACCGGCAGTGACCGCATCCCTATCCACGGCATGGCCAGTCTACGCATCGTCCTCCAGTCCACAGCTACGGAAGAGCACTACCTTCCTGTGGCCCACACCTGCTATAACATGCTGGACATGCCCTGCTACCAGACCAAAGAGACCCTGCGGCACCGGCTCACACAAGCCGTGGAGCAGTACGAGGGCTTCAGTCTGGTCTGAGCGGGAACTACAGAGGTGGCTTTCTGTATGCCCACACTGCACTTTAAACCTGTGGAGAAATGGAAACGAACGCTGCTCTCGCATTTATTTAACCACAGAAGAGCACATTTCCAATCTCAAATGAGTAAATCTATTATTTTCTTATTTTTACGGACTTGCTTTTTTGGTTTTGCTTCTCCAGATGTGCACAAATTTTGTTTATCTTCTCAAATTTATATTTTTTAAAATGACAAAAGTAAATTATAAGATTGGGATGGAGTAGTTGGCTAAATAAATGAAAAGAGTCGACTTTCTGTATATGTTATTAAGTATAATTGTTTTTGAATCCGATAGGTTGCTCGTATCCGGATGTTATTTTGCCGTTTTGACTGAAATCTGGATCAAATTCACTAGTTTAAGCGTATGAAATGCCCACTGTAGAACAGAGCTCAATTCAGAAATGGCCTGTAAATCGGGGGCTCGTCCGGGATCAGGATGGTAACGATAACACAGCGCCATCAGCACGGTACACCAGACCGACAGTTACAGGCCAAATCCATTAAAAGGTTTTATCTCGATTAATCCTCTCAAATCGGACGTCAAGCATTAACACAGCTCCTGAATCCATTCCAGTTTATGTACAGTAGCAGGTCAATAGCTTACAAATGTCTCTTATTAATAATAGGCGTGCATGAGCATGCCATGCCCAGCTGCTTTTCAGAAATATTTTCATTAACGTTGGGGGTGGGGGTGGGGGGTGGATTTCTCTTAGAATGAAATGGGGTTTCTTTGAGGATGTGATCCAGCAATAACTACTGGGTGATGTATGACGTCTACTAGTTATGGGATGTTTAAATCCAGCAAATGTGAATATTCTAACGGTTGTGTTCTTCCGGCTTTCAATTGAATCCCATTTTGACTCACAGGAAGGTCATGTGCTGTAAAATTTTGTTTTCTACTCAGTTTTCTTTCTGACGTCGTCGGATCCGAGTGCTTTACCTACGGTTCCTCGGCGGTTTTCTGAGATGGGGAAAACGGTGATGTGTTTGCTGTGATGTTTTGCATCTAGCTGCGTGAGATGTGTTTGTTTGAACATGATGGAAGGTCATAGAAAGAAGTGTTTCGATCCAACGTATTCCTTTCTGTCAATGTATGCAAACAAGGGCTTCTGAGTGGCTACTGATGCGTTGTTATTTTAGTAAAGTATATTTACTTTTATAGCTTTCAAATGGAATATATTGTTTTATCTATTTTTTTCCAGAACAATAAAATTGTTTCACCTCTGATGATCAAGCATTTTATTTTGTTCTTTAATGACACTGAAATGAACACCCAACACCAGTATAGTCAGAAAAAATATTTTGGTTTTATATTATATGTACAAAATACAAATACAATCATGTACTAAAATGTACACACAGTATTCATCTTTATCCATCATTCTGGTCACGTTCAGTAAAAACAAAATTCACGCTACAATTTTCCAATCTGGAGAATAAGAGAAGGGGGTGACGTGCTCACTCGGTTTGTATCCGCGTTCACCGGGCACGCTCAGTGAGGCCCCACAGATTCGCTTTCTATTGCTCGCTAACAATAGAGATGTGTTTGAGGGGATTTGATCCGCCCACACCACTGTTAAACAGTGAGTTTCATGTGATGACCAGTTCGACACTTGAGACTATTTAGTATAAAAATATACACAAAACATGAACAATGAAAGCTGGTTTATAGAACCTTGGTTTGTGCGTTTCTACACCATTAACAGCGTAGCAAGAGAGTTTTTTCTTTTGGTTGTTTTTTGCACTTTTTTTTTTTTTGTAAAGAAAATCTAGCTTAGTCAATGGTCTTAAAGATTACAGCTTTAAAGTCGGAGGAGAATTAGATTAACAATGCAAATTATGCATTTCCTCAGAAGCATTAATATTCAAAATAAAGCCATTTGCATGAATTATGGCACCAGTAAATAACAAAAAAATAATTATATACAGAGAGCCTTCCTTCCATTAATTGGTTACTTTCTTCAATTCGTCAAATACTAAAAGTTCCTATAATGATAAACTCTCCTCATCTCAATATACATAAGACAATTTAAGACGCAACATCTCAATGTTCTTCAAAAGCTTGTGCCTGATTGTGAAAACACAGTTGTTTCTATATTATAGCGATGTTAATATAGAAAAAAAAAACGAACTCTACATACCAATACGAACACGAAACATTCTTCTGGGCTTCAAAGGGAATCAGGAGATTCGCAATATGTGATTGTATTCCGAATCCACAAGTCCTCTTCGCTGTACAGTGGAACAAACGGCAGTGTACATCTGCTATTGGTGAACCAATCATGTCTCGGTGTCCTTAAAAGCCAAATGTGTCTGAAAAACATGTCTTTGTGCCCACTGGATAGCAGTGGCTGGTCCTTGCTTGGCTAGCAGAGTAAGTCTTGAGCACTAAATGAACTTGGAGGAGTCTCTTTTACTGATGAGCACTTCCAACAGCCTTAGCTTGGCTTTAATATGCTTGTATTCATTGTATTCCCCTGCCAAGGGTGAGCGATCTTCCTTTTGCACGTTTCTATGGGAAAAGCACAAGTAGAACATTCAATAATACGATCTTTTTTCCTTCTCTGCAGAGACATAGATTCCACCATATGAAGAGCAAACATGTTACCTTTGTATTTGTATTGTGAAAGTTTTCTTTACCTGCCATTCTGTTTGAAGAACTCATCCTCAAATTCACGGAGGTTTTGGCGGATTCTTTTCTTTTCCTCACGGGCTTCCTGGAGTTGCTCTACAAGTTCTTCCCTGTGTGTTTGGTTAAGAGGGAGTGGAAAGGTTTAACATTCTTTCGACCCACAGCCGCGATTCAATTCAATAATTTGCTGTTTCAATAGTCGGTAAACATTACCAAACAATTCACTTTTTTAAATGTACAAATTAGCCATTTGTATATATTTGGCCTTGGAGCTCCACAAGATAAATTATGAATACAAGAAATGTAAGAGGTCTGTAAGGGCGCTTACGCACAAGAGTTTACGTCAGAAAACACGCAAATTCATAGACGTCAATGGGGATGATGCATAGCAAGGAAATCTTGCGCTACATATTTGACAACTACCACTGACCAATGACAACTTTTCCAGTTGTGATTTGGGAAATCTGCCTTATTTTATTTATTATACCTTTAGTTTTCCAAAAGCATCAGAAGCGTCAGTAAGCTGTAAAAACCATTGGCACTAATGGTCTCTACGATACACCAGTCCAAGGCTGTGTTTCCTTTGTAAGTATATTGTAGAACCATTGTAACCACCAGTGGTCTCTACGATCAACTCAGCTCACAATGCTTTTGAGAAAAGCAGCCCTGGTTAGTCCCTTTCTTGTGAGAGAGAGAGAGAGACCTGGCCATTTGAGGTCTGGTACGACTCTTTCCACATCTTCAAAATGGATCCCAAAACAATCTGTCCAAGCATTATCTTGTGAGATATACATTTCTACTCTAAACCTAAGACTCACATGGTAGCAGCATGCAAATTGGACAATCTCATATCCATGGTGTTCTTGGAGGGAGATGATTCATCAACAGGTGAGATGAAACCATCCGTGACCTCATCCAGTTGGTCGAGAAGTCCCAGCATGCTCAGCTCTGGCTTAACCGTGACCGTGAACTGTGTCCTGGTGTCGTCGTCATCCGAGCCATCCTCCTCCTCCTGGAAAAGAGCAGATGGCGCCGGTCAGTTATGGCCGAGGGTTTACACCACCATGACTGAGCAGCATCACGCCTAACATTGATTTGGAAGGCGAATCTCAATGGGAATCATTTAGTAATCATTGTGCATCAAGCCTCAGTGTTAGTACAAATGAAAAGCATCAGTGCTTTAACAGTGCAATAAATTATTTTCATTTCAGTTGGAGTATTTAGTGCACTGCCTTACATTTGAGTCACCAATTCAAGTTTTCACATCCCTGGTGCCAAAAACCCAACAGGGATGTGATCAAACGGCTTTGGAATCAGCAGGAGTCGAATCTCACAGCACTCCCAAAGTATGTGCCCATGCAAGTTACTGATTCATGATTAGGTTAATGAGGAAACTAGTGGGGGGTAAGGAGGTGGGTCAGCCGAATCACTGGTTGATTGAGCGGTCACAGCTCTTCACCTTTGTGTCGCTGAAGAACAGGGCTGGTACACCCTCGATAATGGGCTGCAGCAGGGGGCCTCTGCGCTTGCTGGAAGGCGAGCCCTGTGGTGGGTGTTAATAGTGACATTACAACCCGGTAAACTACCTTCACATAAGCCCACTTCAGGGCAGGTCTCACTCCACCAATGGACTAGAAGATTCACATTAAAAGAAACCTTGACATCTGAAGGTGGCACTTCAAGTAATTGGTTTAGGGCATTTTCACCAAATGGGAAACCCACGGTTCAACTGATGCTAAGAGAAAATGTAACTAGAGAACCATATCATTGACTAAGAAGCTAAAGCTAAAAGACAATTCAAATGTGCACATAAGTTTAAACATACCATCCATTTTGTTTTACATAAGCCAATTGTTTTCGGAACATACCAATATTACATTCTGTTATTAAGTGTGGGAAAACACTTCCTGTGGTGTGGGGATATGCCCAGGGTTGCTGCTTAATTATTTTAGAGTATGTATGTAAGAGAATTGGGAATTATAAGGAACACTGTTGCAAATATCCAGCAACAGGATATGACCTAAGTGAGCTACTCTTGAGCTCTTGCTAAAGCCCCGGCACTGCCATTGCCGCAATACAAAATCTAAATGCTTATATTGTGCTACTGCTAATGCTATTTTCTCTACTAATACCATGGAGATTTATCCATACGGTTTAGCTCATGAATAAAGTAGAAATAGAAGCTAGCTAGCCTTTAATACAACCATACTAGCTTATGCATATCTGCTAGCGTGGCTCAGATAAGAATTAGCTTTATGCCCAAACCTAGCCTTGCTGCCAACTGCCTAGATGGCCAGCAACCGAACCCTAATGATACTCACAAGTGGCCGATTTGGAACGGTCTACATAGGCAGAGCTCAAATATGGCGCCCAATGTGGGGCACTCGTCTCGTAATGGTTTCAATACAGTACAGTATACAGAAAAAAATTATTTTCATTACTATGTTTTACTACTGAATTCAATTTCTCTTGCTTAGTTAGCCATCTTGCTTCATTGCATCCGAGGCCCTGTTTACACCTGGTATTAAGATGCATTTTGGTCGATCGGATAACAAGTAGACGAGGGTGACACCTGGTGTTTTCCTTCTCTTTTGTCCACCTTCAACCACTTCTGTCCTGATTTCTTCATGGGGAGGGTCTATGGGTGGGTAAATGTATGTTTTTTTTTTCAGATCTTTCGATCTAATGGACAAAATAAGCTTGCCCTGTTTATATAAATAGGCTCCCGGAGATGACGAAAACACGTTTGAGAGCAGTAGCTTTCGTTTCTGCTTTGACAGTTGCAAGACCAATCGAATGTTTTGAGTGTGTGCTAGAAATCAGGAATGGAGAGAGAACATTGTGCTTGGTACGCTGGTACGAAACTTTGGTCTCCAGCCGTCAGTTTAAGTCCCATCTGGCAAGCGCGCCTTTCATAAGGTGTCCACACATTCGGTCAGTAGGCGGTCTTTTGTGGCTGTTTAAACACATTCGACAACATGAGCGTCTACACTACGAAAGTAATCCGGTCTAATGTGTTTTCGACTATCTTCCGGAAGTGGTCAAAAGTGGACAAGCTTACGTTTTAGACCCCGGATCTGTATTTAGAGTCTTCCACATGTGATCCGATCAACCAAAACGCATCGGTGTAAACAAGGCCTGTGAAGGAGAAAGTCAATTTGGCCTTAAGGCCCGTACACACCGGGACGAATATCAACACGCGTTATTCGTCAGCGTTTTTCAACGTGTTTTTTGTGTTCACACCCAATCGATTTTCACTGATGATGAGCCGAGTGAATGTTCCCTGACATTAGATGGCGCCCATTTGCTCTGCAAATACCACTCCATATCAGTTCTCTTTTATCAAGATGTTTGTAGTCGCAGTCGCGTTTGTCACATAGTTCTTATATGCGACACCAACGAGACCCGCAGCTCTACATTCATCTTGCCTTGCGTCTTCCTCGTCTTATTTCTTCCTGGCTGTGTAGACCATGATGTCTATGGTGTAGAGGGTGACGCTACTTGGCGTAGATCTTCTTCTCCGTTACGTATGTGTGCTTGGCAAGACCGTTTTGAGTTTGAGCGCCCCCAAGTTGCGTTTTACTGTAACTTCAGGAGCTCCAAACAAGTGAGCAAAAGCGCCAATCTCATTGGTCGGATATTTTTTGACGCGGCGTGTCAAACTGAAAAAAACGAACCCGAGGCGCTTTTTTAAAAAAATTACGCTTTTACGCGTAATGTTTTCCGAGTCGGTGGGCACACTCACATTGGCGCCCTTTGTTTAGTCACAAGGCGTTAAACGTCGGCGAATATCGCATGCGAAATTCGTCCCGGTGTGAACAGGCCTTTAGTGAGGTATCTTAGGAGGCAGAACAATGAAGTTGCAACAGCCACGACTGTAACTAAACTCTGAAGGATAGTGGCCCTCCAGGAGCAAGATTGGACACTCTTGCTGTACATGAACTCCCAAGATGAGAGATTTCTCCAGTGAATAGAGAAACAGAGCTGGGACAGAAGCATGCAATGAACTTCAAAAACAGAACTTACAATGACTGGAATGGAGGAAGCTCTACAGAGGATTTGTTTGACGAGTCGGTACCGGTCGTAGAGAGGCTTCATGACCTGCCTCTCATTCTTGGTGATCTAGAATGAGTGACAAAAATACAGATATTAAATCAACCTCAGACTATGTGGATAAGTTCTGAAGGTTAAGAAATGCACACTCACTGGTCTCCCATGGATGTTCTCATAATATAGAAGAGCTTTCTGAAGGGCCACTTTTTCTGTTCCAATCTGTTCACGGGTCATGTCCTAATGGAGAACAGAGAATGACATTTTAAAGATACGTGCATTTGTTTATAATAAAAAAGGGCAAAAGAAAGCCTTAAAACCGCACCTTAATGTCTTCGGGTCGGCCAGCCTCATCGCGTTTCTCCTGCAGTTTGTTCATGACTGCATCCAGTGTGCTTTCCACAGGGGGTTTGGGGGCTTTGGTCTCAGGAGCTTTCTTCTCCAGCTGAGACCCAAAGCTCCTGGGAAGCGTGTTGCTACGCTGGCGGGGGATGGGCGTCAAATCCTCTTCTGACTTTAGCAACTTGTGATCTGTGATGTAGAGCCAGAACATGGAGCCACTTGTTTATAAGAACTTTGCAAGCCATGAGCAGAGCAGAGCAGATTAGATCAGATGTTGTTTTCCTGGCAGGCCCAACCCACAAATGTAAGTGAGAAATTACACCCGAAACATTTTGTTTGAACAAAACATCATGAAGGTTGGATTATCGTGGCTTATATTAGAGCAGCACGATTCTGGATAAATTGAGAATAGCGTTTTTGTATTTTTCAAACATCACAAATCTTCTGACCACACAACTAAACAAAATAACATGCAATTTACTAGAGGTTCTAACCGAGATAGCACAAGTCTATTTGATGTAATGTTTACATCTGGAAGACGTATTTTTAAGATTGTTTGCTCATCTGCAATACGTCTATAGGACGTTTCCTGTCAGATGTCAAATAGACGTTTAGAAGATGTCTTTAAGATGTAATGATTTAGAATGCATGTTAAACTGAAATCTTATAAACGTCTATTTGACATCTGACTGGAAACATCCTATAGACGTATTGCAGATGAGCAAACACTCTAAAAAATACGTCTTCCAGATGTAAACACACACATCAAATAGACTAAAAGACATTTTCTAAACGTCTATTTGACATCTGACAGGAAACGTCCTATAGACGTATTGCAGATGAACAAACACTCTTAAAAATACGTCTTCCAGATGTAAACATTAGATCAAATAGACTTGTGCTATCTGGGAACAAAATGTTAATTGCTGCAGTTTATTCAAAATGTTTAATCCGAATTATTATTTTTTTAATTGGTTTAAATGAATAATTCATCATTACTGGGTGAATCAACGCTTTTTGAACAAATCTCGACTGAATGACTCAATGCCAAATACTTTTTTTAACAGTAACTTGTCATCACCTGGTGGCGACAATATAATCGTTATTTGTAGCACCATGTTACGTTTAAAAAAGTGATCTGATCTATTTTGATCGCTACCGTAGACATTGTTTACATTCGACCTATAAACTTTTATCCCAGTACTTCTGCGATAAAATATTTGTAACAGAAATAATGATACTGTGTGTTTGAAAATACACTCTCTGGGTCAGCAGCAGCGTCAATGATTTTGTCAAAGTTTTAATAGACATTCGTTGCAATTAGGAATAAAATTGCTTAAGTGTTTATATCGAGATCGCGATTTTTTAACGATGAATCAAGCAGCTCTAGCTTACATGAAACAAACGACTTTCATTCAATACCTTTTAAGTCTTTGCGCATCTTGGCCAGTTCATTCATCCAGCGCAGAACCTCTGGGTTGGCAGCTTTGTCGCTGTGTGAAGGCTGCAGAGAAAACACTAGACTCAATATTTGTAGCAAACAGAGCTAAATACATTTTGCACCAGTTACTTTCATCATGAAAATGGCACATCGACAATGTTTTCCAGGTCATTGATTAGAACGGGATCGATTTATCAGTGTAGAAGTCGTAGGATTTTGAGTTGTCGCAACATTAAAAAGGGACTGAGATAATGTTTACTGTTTAGATCTCGCTTTCGCTCACCCTGTATTTGCGCTCATCCTCAAACTTCTCCTCAAACCTCCGGATCTTCTTCTTGAGTACGTGGATCCGCTTTGAAAGCTGAGCAGAGGTCAACTCTTCCCGGTCATCGTCGCAGGAGCCTAACGACGAACTTCTCCGCCTACTAAATGGAGAACAGCATTCATTTCACCCTCCGAAAACACAGGATTTCCTCTTTCAAACCGGACAAGGGTTTGCTGTTTTACCTGACGAAGGAGTGGGCGTTAGGTGGTGATGGAGGAACCTCTGTGTCGTCCAGATACTGCCGACCGTCTCCGTAAGCGTAGAACCGCGGCGAGACCATTGGGTCGCTGTCCTCCTCCAGGAGCTGGCGAATCGGCTTGCCACCGGCATGGGGAGACAGGCGAGCTTCCTCGCGGTCCATACTCTCCCTTTGCCACGACGAGTAGGCTGGCACTGGTTCTGTCAACACACAAGCGTTACTTAAAATTGAGGGAAATGACAAAGCAGCATGCCTAGATTTCACAAGGCACTTGGTAAAAGCAAGCCAAACAGGGAACAAGTAGTAGATTTTGTCTGTGTTGATGTAAAGTCAAGGCCAAACAAACGTGGAGAACATTACATTTTAACTAGGCTAATATTCTATTGACCGTGTTGCTATTTTCAGGCATCCTGAGGACAATATTGTTATACTCACACCCACAAGAATGTGAGTTATTCACCTCAACAGACAGTTGTTTTTATCTTTGAGACAGATAAGTACACTTATCACCTTTGTTAAATACACAATACATGTGTGATTTCTCACAAAGTGTATCATGCACTACAGATTATTAATCAAACATCGTGAGCACATGCTGTGATATCGCAATGTTGTGTTTATTTACTATGCAGATACCGGGATCATAAAGTAAGGTCAGAAGAGCAATTTAATGAAGCAGCGAGAAGAATGTGGCGATAAACGCTGATTGCAATGTGACCTGTGGAACTCGGATGCATGATGGCTCGAACTTGATCTTATCTGCTGTTGTAAAGTTGATGATGGCCTATTTACAGTGTTGAAGTGAAGGTAAAACCCCTTGCACAAGGCAATGTTCATTAGGAAAAACACAACTTTTTTGAATAGATGTACCTACTAAACTCTAAAAGAACATTAAAATACATCACATCAATGGTTTATGGGACTATTAAAGTGTTTTTTACCTTGTGGGTGATTGATTAGGTGTTTTTAAAATTCAGTTTCTAATCATTATAAATTTTTAGTTCACTTTTAAAAAAACTTTTGGTGATAATTTACACACCCCCATTTCATCCAAGATGTCCATGTCGTTCTTTCTTCAGTCGAAAAGAAATTAAGGTTTTTGATGAAAACATTCCAGGATTTTTCTCCATATAATGGACTTCAATGGGAACCAAACGGTTCAAGGTCCGAAAGACAGTTTCAGTGCAGCTTCAAAGGGCTTTAAACGATTCCAGACGATGAATAAGGGTCTTATCAACCGAAATGATCGCTCATTTAATAAATAAATAAAAAAAGTTTAAGTTTTATAAGCACAAATGTTCGCCTTGCTCTGTTCTGTGATGCGCGTCCGTGACTCTCATGTTCGAACTCGTTCATCAAAATGAACGAATCTTTTTTTGAGTCATTTTGTTGATTCAATGAATGAAATGACTCAAAAAAAGATTTGTTCATTTTGATGAACGAGTTCAAACAGGAGAGTCACGAAAAGAGCAAGGCGTTTGGTACCCAGTAAAGTCAAACTTTTCGACTGAAGAAAGAAAGACGTGGACATCTTGGATGACATGGGGGTGAGTAAATAATCAGCAAATGTTTTTTTTAAAGTGAACTAATCCTACACTCACAATATTAGCAGTACCTTAGCAGGGATGCTATTGCATTATTTCAATACATGCACACACAATCCTACACACAAACAAACAGCTCAACATGCTTTTCAAAAGTGCTGTGCAGTGCAACCAATCTGGTACAGCTTAAAATCCTACAGGTTCTTTGCAACTTTTGTGTGTCATGTGCTTACAAGTCATGCTTGAGGAGCTAATGGGTCAGGTGGATCTCTCCCTCATGCAGCGCATTTGGAGCCATTTTGTTGAGCCGGCATAATGCATCCAAGCATGTGCTACAAGATGGCCTTTCATTGAAAGGCTCACAAAGTCTCAGTAGGCTATTGAGAACATAAATAAAGCCACATATTATTGTGCCTGTCCGCAAAGGCTGCAGTATGTTAGATGTTAGTAGCTACATGCCAGTTTAAAGGTCACCCGTGAGAGACGGGGCTCAGGGATATCAAGTTGATAACAAAAGCAGATCTCAGCCCTTACCCTCATTGTGACTTGATTTTAAAAGGCTTTTGAAATCAAGGAAAGAAGCACTAAAGAAATGAGAATCTGAAAGACAAAAGGAAAGAAAGGTAACTAATGATGACGCAACTGTTATAATGAGATGTGCTGACAAACATTTGGGCAAACCACTGCCTCTTGGCACCGCAGTGGGTCAACCGCAATGTGCTTTGGCACCGGCTGCAGTGGGACAAAGGTCTGGCAGCTCAATGTTACAGTCCTGAACACTCCCATGAGCTGGAGCTACAGATTGTTTTTACTGCCACTGTATATTTACAGACATGTGAAATCGATTCCAGCGACCATACGCTTCCAAAGATGTTAACAAAACACTTTTAGCTTGTATAAAATCATTTACACTTTTCATCTGCGGTTTCGTTCCACTTAGCATAATTGCTACAATTTATAGAATATTACTGTGTATGCACAACAAAATGCATTACATTTCTTTTGTTACATTTCAACAAAGTATTTTACACATTTTAACACGATCACATTATCAGTGCGTTTCACTCATCATAACAAACTAGGTAAAAAGGACCGTGAACTACTCAAAATAGTAGTTAATTTCAATATAAATTTTGTTTTAAAAGAATCATGTTATCATGACATTGAATATCCCAAAAAAACTAGAGAATTTATTTATTTGAATTTTACAAAAAATCTTGTCCCAAAACTATCATGTTACGTTACGTGTGATTAAGTTGTTCTGATCAGCACAACAAACACGATTGCAAGGATGTGTAGAATATAACTAGGTAAAGTACACAAAACTATTTAAATGACTGATTTGTATAGCTCTTTTCAATAATAAATATTCTGAAATCGTTTTCATGTTTTTTCTAAATTGAGTTGCTCCATTTTGCATTAACAGCAAGGATTTGCAGAATAAACTAGGAAATAGGCACACCAAAAATAGAAAATTTAGTTGTAATATATATATATATATATATATATATATTAGGGCTGTCAAATGATTAATCGTGATTAATCACATCCAAAATAAAAGTTTTTGTTTACATGATATATGTGGGTGCACTGTGTATAATTATTTTATATATATATATAAATACACACAATATATAAATGCATGTATATTTAAGAAAAAATATTCATATATAATATAAATTATATATAAATCCATATACAGTATATACATGAAAATATTTCTTAAATATATACGAGCATGTGTGTGTATTTTTATATATATATATATATATATATATATATATATATATATATAATATAATTATACACAGTGCACCCACATATATCATGTAAACAAAAACTTTTATTTTGGATGCGATTAATCACGATAAATCATTTGAAAGTCCTAATATATATATATATATATATATATATATATATATATTACAATAAAATTGTCCAAAAACTAATCTTTTTCATTGTGCTTTCTGAAATTTCATTGGTAAAATTAATTGCAAGGATCTGTGTATAAGTCGTCAAAATGCCAAATTAAATTTCTGAATGGCCTTAAAATTATTTAATTTAATTCCAAATTCTACTTATTAACTAGTGATAAAATGATTAAAGTTAATTCCAAATTCTACTAATTTACTAGTGATAACGCTTTTCACAATACAACCAAATAAAAAAAACAGAAAACCTTCGAAAACGTTTCTGTCTAAACAAAATACAGCGTATGGAGGAAATAACACATGTTGCACTCCCAGGAATGTCTCTACCTTGCAAAACCACAGGGCGATTTTTTTTTGTGGGCCATTTTAGTCATGTGTCATTATGTAATCAGCCGTTTGAAGCTCTCACTAGAGGGTGCCACAGAACAAATACATTATACAGAATAAAGATCCTGCCAAGGCTGTGACCACAATATTAAGCACTATATTAAAGTAAAGGGTAACAGTGAATCAACATGGCAAACCTGTCAGCAGGGCAGCTCCATATATGAGCACTTCACTGCCTAGGGCGCGCCTGAGGTCTGTGCCTGAGATCTCTAGAAATCGTGAACTACAACATTTCCAAGGTCAATGTGAAAGGGGTGTGTTTGCATTGTTGGAACAAGTCTACAACTGGCACGTGCTGCACGAACAGGAGAGGAAACAGGAAAAGAGACAGCTGTGATTAGCCATGACCAGTTTAAAAGGCTGAGACGTGATGTGCACATAGCAACAGCTCTCAGACTACAGGATTCAACCTCCTTCTGTTTCACTTCTCGGTTGCTATGACTATCCGGACCTCCGCTTGTAGAGCCCAAGCCCAACGTCTGCTTGTTGCTAGGCTCACCCTCCTACAGCCCAAACTGAAGATGACAAATGCGGTTCGTCACCATGAACTTGCCCGAAAAACAAAAACAAAAAAGTGCAATAATCTATCTATCTATCTATCTATCTATCTATCTATCTATCTATCTATCTATCTATCTATCTATCTATCTATCTATCTATCTATCTATCTAATCCATCTATCTATCTATCTATCTAAGATTTGATGAATAAAAAATATTTATAGATCAATCTATACATTAAAATTAACCCCCCCAAAAAAACACTTAAAAACACTCATACCTTCATTAAATATACATATTACATATACCGGTAAATATAATATATAGTATTTATATAGTCTATAATCTATATTTATAAATTAATCTATACATAATCTATCCAAAAAAAAAAACAAACAATATTTCATTTTATCTCAAATAATATGATGAATAAAGTGATATAATCCATATTTAACAATACATATTAGAATTAAATAAAAAAATAAAACCTATAATTTATATATATATATATTTTTTTTTTTTTCTGAACAAATATGATATATATATATATACAAAGAAGCACAAATATGCAAATCAACAGCCTTTCGACTGTTTACAAGCAGAGAATTATGGTGAAAGGGGAAGTGTGGGAAGAGAGAAAAAACATGCAGCTGAATCCAGAGCAAACTCAATAAATCCCAGAGGCATCCGAGGCAAAAATTCTCAAGGGACATCGCAGGGCTTTGAAGTAGCTGTGGCTACAATCTCAGTATTTGCAACAACAATGCACAAAAAAGCACGCCGTTGCAATGCAAAATAAGCCTCTCTAGACTAAGGAGGAAAACAGATTGCAGACTACTTGTAATCTTCTTCCTCTATTAAGTGACTTAATAAAACCCACTGCATGAGGACACAATGTGGGCAAGGCAGACTTGCAGCTGCCGCCCATGTGCAGAGAGAGAGAGCAACAAAGTGAGACACTAATAAAAATTTAAAAAAAAACACTGACCTGCCCAGTTGCTGTCGTCTGTCAGAGTGGAAAGGTCCAGTCGAGGCACATCGTCGCACGGCTCTGTGCCACTGAGAGCCTCCAGGATCTTCATGGCAGGCGTCTAGCAGAGAAAAGAGCGAAGGATAAACACCAACTACAGCGGAGTGGGGGTAGTGCGCTTCTTAGGTTGAGCAATACCCTGCCTGCGTCTGCCCTCGTCTACTTACAGGCTGGGAGGAGGCAGGGGGCGGCACTGCTGGACAAACCCCCTGCCTGCTGATTGGCTGTCTGCCCAGCTCAAGCCCCACCCATATTCCATGCAGGGTAGGTGTGGCTAATTTGTGTTTTTTTCTATCTCTCTACCCCTCCCTTTCTCTCTGAGCTGCTGTGTGTCCCGTAGAGAGAGAGAGAGGGAGGGAGGGGTAGCATACCGAGCACGTAAATCACGCAGGCAGAAATGCCTTCCCAATCTTTTCACTTTATCACTGACGGGACTCTTCCCCCCCTCCCACCGTTTCGGCGATGATCAAATCACGCAAGGAGGGGTCGTGAAGGGTGCAGACAAATCATACAACTCGGTCACTCGCACAAACAAACACACTTCCGCCACTGGGGCGTGGGATGGGGTCTATTTTTGGAGCAAAGGGGGACTTTTCAAGAGTTTCAAATAAAACAAAGGTTATTGGAAAGATTTCTACATTAAAATTGCACGTTTTCTACTTTCTTAATTGCCATTTTGTTCAATTTACTAACAACTTCCAAACTGAGTGAAAATTGGTACACTGTAAAAATTTGTAGTCACAAGATTTTTTCTTTTGTCAAATCAACTTAAATAATTTAGATAGATCAGATAACATCATATTTTGAGTTTCTGATGATTAAATCAATCTCCTTCATTGTATTAACTCAATTTTTCCATTCCAATGAACTTAATGACTTAATTTTTCAAGTTGAACCAACAATATTTTATTACAGTGTACCGACAGCATGACAAACAGTCCTGTTTTCTGTTATTACGGCACACAGGGCTTACTCATGCTAATGCAATTGGATTTGAAACGTACTTGTGCCATTGGAGACGTGCTATTTTTGCCGATGTGATTTTCATTACGTGCCCATTATGGTCCTATAATTGCAACACACTATGTGTCAATCCAAACTTGGAATGAGGACTTTGTGCAGGTTAAAGTTGTGTACATGACTCTGTAAAATACCCCTGCCCACATGCCAAGAGACGTGATGTTTATTACTTCCAGAGGAGATAAGGAACAGAATGGGAAACAAACGGTCCAGACATCCTGAATGTGAAAACTCTGGAAACACTTCAATGTAAGTAAACATTTATATCCAAACATTTAACATTTAAGCCTCATTGCACAAATACAACACTCATCGAAACTGATAATAACATTAACACCAGTTCGTGTGCAGGCCAACTGCTCATTTATAACAGTATGAACGTAAACCTAATGTATATACAACATCTACATGCTTTGGCTTAAACCATGACGAAAACGACTTAAAGACCCGATCAACAGGCTTTCCACAGATTTGGAGCCTTCACATGATGTTTGTCCCAGAGAAATCTCTCCAATCAAGGGCAATCAACAGTAAACAACTCATCTGATAATCTTGTCATCGCCTGTTCACGTAATGATTAAAGAGGAGACATCTATAATGAGATTATATGGCTGATGATGAGATTGGAGTTGTTATGGATATAAATATTTCAATCTACACATTTCATCATATCCAGAGATGCCAAAACACTAGTAATCTGGTCTAGAAACTCAAACTGTGGCCTAAAAGCTCTGAAGCAAAGGTTGAAAAGTTGTTAAGCGTTTAAAATAAGAGGTGAATAAAATGAAATCAAATAAAAAAAGATTCCATGCATTATGAACATATTATTTGAAAATGCCATGCATAAAAAAATGAATAAATAAAAAAATAGTATAAAGACCTTATGTTCATAATGCATGCATTTCAAACAGTGTAATTCTACAGTTAAAGGTGTAGTAATATGCTATTATTAGGTGTACTATTAAAAAAAAATATTCCCCTAAAACGCATCGTGCAGCCAAAACCGTAAAGCCTAGAGACTTGAAACTCAAAGTCAAGACGGTAGGGCCTCAAATTGGGGAGAACCTCTCAGAGTACGAGCCCGATTGGCTCATAGGTGGCGCTACAGCAACCAAAAGTACTAAATTGTTCATATTACTCCCAGACCGTTTGACTTAGCCTCAAGGTTTTTTACACCACTGTGATCCGTGGCTCAAGACGGGCAAGATTTATATCTCCGATTTCGATTTGGGCCTAAAAAAAAGTTATGTCGAATATTGTCCAAAACTTACTTTTGCGAACTAGTCCCTGGTTTTTCGCCCAATCGCAACCAAACCAGTCTATGCCTATTCTCTGGACTCTAGATCAATAATTATCAGAAAAAAAGTTGAAATTTTGCAGTTTGTTCGCTATAACAGGGTCATTTAGAATGTGGTCTGTGTCAAAATACAGCCAAAAGCCAATAAATCCTAAAGAAAAAGTCAGAACTTCACAAAAATTGATGAGCATATGTGTCCTAACATGGTTAGGAAGCTTGCAAAGTTTCGTGAGGATCGGACCATAGGTGACGCTTTAACTGTTAAAAAGCTTTAAAACCATGTATTTCCAAATGGTACATTGCATGTATTGGCTGTATATGGTGTTTTCCATCTATTATGTCAGTGGATAAATGTATGCTAAATAAAACTGAATTCCTTTTGATGCTTTTGTGCTTAAAGGCCTTAAAGGAGTAGTTCACTTTTAAAAACACTTTTGCTGATAATTTACTCACCCCCATGTCATCCAAGATGTCCATGTCTTTCTTTCTTCAGTTGAAAAGAAATTAAGGTTTTTGATGAAAACGTTCCAGGATTTTCTCCATATAATGGACTTCAATGGGAACCAAATGGTTCAAGGTCCAAATGAGAGTTTCAATGCAGTTTTAAAGGGCTTTAAACGACACCAGACGATGAATAAGGGACTTATCTAGGACAATTCGAGTCATGACTCGGAAAAAAAGATTTGTTCATTTTGATGAACGAGTTCGAACAAGAGAGTCACGAACACTCATCACAGAACACACCAAGGCGAGCATTTGTGCTTATAAAACTTAAACTTTTTTATTTATTTTTGAAATGACAGATCGTTTCACTAGATAACACCCTTATTCATCGTTTGGTGTCGTACTACTCAGAGAAATTGAGTAGTATTTGGCTGGTCATGTGATCTCAAAATGACTGACCCCACAGGGCAAAGCTCTTGATGTGTCACTTTTTTTGTCTAAAAAATACTATTAATATCTTTATAAACTGATTCAAACTTTTAATAAGGACAAAGGTAGAGAGTGCACATTAAAAGCAGTCATTAAATGTGAAACTAAATTTATGAATTTACCATAAATTACAGAATTGCCATGCTCCATGTAGAAATCAAACGTTCAAAGAAAAAGTTCTCTAATCAGCTGGCAGAATCAACGAGACGGCAAACTCTAATACCACAATGCATTGCGTACGTGTCACAGCTGTGTACAACATGTTCTAACTGTTAGAGCGGATGAATGAGTAAGATCTCACGCATCACATGCAGTGACACTGATTCAACATGCATGTGACATCACAATGACAGCCATTGTGATGTAAGCCAATCATGTTTGGGCTTAAAACCAATATTCTTTATCAAAGTAGTCTTTAATTTTAAAAGGGAAATTTGCAAACATCCTTGAAGGACAAAGGGAAAAGAAACTTGATTTCTATATTTAGTCTTATTATATAGTCTTATTTAGACTACTTGATACAGAAATATTTCAACAGAGGATGTTTGTGACTATATCAACTCTTTCATTGACCCTCAAAGTATCGCTTGAATAACTCTTAAAAGTGTACAAGTGTCATTGCATCAGTTAATTAAACAAACCAAGTGACCTTCTTTTGAAAGAATAATAGCACAAGCACGACATCCAATTTTAAGGAGTTTGTTCGTTTTAATACACTTAAAAATAAAGGTCCTAAAAAGGAATGCCAGAGAAAAACCAGTCCGGGTTCATTGAAAGAAAGAACCACTTTTTTCTTAGTTTGAAGACTTTTAATCATCTCAAGGGTAACACTCTGACTCTACAATAACGTACATTAGTTAATTAGCATGAACTAATAATGAATTGCACTTTACCGCATTTATCCATCTTTGTTAATATTAATTTCAACATTTATTAATACATTACATTAGTTAATGCACTGTGAACAAACAATAAAAAACACGGTTAGTTCATGATAGTTAATACATTAACTAATGAACCTTATTGTAAAGTGTCTCAATAACCTTTTGCTACTATAAAGAACCTTTCGTTGAATGGAAAGATTCTATGGATTTTAAAGGGATACTCCACCGTTTTTGTTCATTTTAAACCATGTTATTCCCTTAACTAAGACGAGTTGATATATTTCTCTCTCATATGAGTCCGTGCACTCAACAGCTCTGGTGCGCGAGAGACTTTGTTAGCCCTTAGCTTAGCCTAGTTCATTCAAGCAGAGAAGCGACCAAACAGCTCCACGTTTTCCCTATTTAAATACAGTTACACGAGTATTGTAATATGGAATTACAGTAATATATGGAAGCTTGTTTCCGCCACTGTATAAATGTTTTTTAAATAATTGCGACTTTTATCTCACAACTGCAAGATATGAAGTCAGAATTGCGAGATATAAAGTCGCAATTGCGAGATATAAAGTCGCAATTGTGAGAAATAAAGTCGAAATTCAGAGAAATAGTCGCAATTGCGATATATAAAGTCGCAATTGTGAGAAAAAAGCGCAATTGCGAGATATTAAGTCGCAATTCTGAGAAAGTCAATTGCGATATATAAAGTCGCAATTGTGAGAAATAGTCGCAATTGCGAGATATAAAGTCGCAGTTGTGAGAAATAGCCGCAATTGCAAGATATAAAGTCGTAATTCTGAGAAATGAAGTCGTAATTGCGATATATAAAGTCAAAATTGTGAGAAAAAAGCGCAATTGCGAGATATAAAGTCACAATTGTGAGAAAAAAGCGCAATTGCGAGATATAAAGTCGCAGTTGTGAAAAATATTCGCAATTGCAAGATATAAAGTCGTAATTCTGAGAAATGAAGTCGTAATTGCGATATATAAAGTCGCAATTGTGAGAAATGAAGTCGTAATTGCGATATATAAAGTCGCAGTTGTGAGAAATAGTCGCAATTGCAAGATATAAAGTCACAATTGTGAGAAATAAAGACGCAATTGCAAGATATGAAGTCGAACAAAATTGAGACTTTTTATCTCACAATTCAGACTTTTTTTCTCACAATTGCGAGTTTACATCACAGTTCTGACTTTATAACACATAATTGCGAGTTTATATCTCAAAATTCTGACATCTTTTCTGAAAAAAAAGTCACAATTACCTTTTTAATTTTTCATTCTGTGGCGGCACAAGTTTCCAGAGTAATATCATCAGTCCGGAGAGGGAGAGGATTTTTCACGAGTGATGATATATATGCTTCGAGACGAAGTGCTCCCAAGCACTTGCTGTCGTATTCTGCCATACATTATAGTCATCCACTTTACACGCTTAGAAAAGCACAACGTTTTATTTTGTGTTACCATTCTTGGTCGAGTTACACTACTGTATTTAAATACGGAAAACGTGGAGGTGTTTGGTCGCTTCTCTGCTTGGATCCTAATGAATGAACTGGGCTAGCTATTGAGTGCACGGATTCAGACGAGAGAGATCAACTCGTCTTAGTTAAGGCAATAACAGTTAAATATGAACAAAAATGGTGGAGTATCCCTTTAAAGGATCCTTTAAAAAGTGTTCAAATACTATGGGACCACTGTGTATATGCACTTGGAGGACAACCAACACTGTGCAACATAATTGTAACAGCTTTATAAACCGATTGGTCTGAACATGCAGGAAGACAACTAAACCGAGGGTTTTAGTCAATTGGCACATTGACATCAAACGTTGCCAGAGCCCAGACGGCACGACGGCAGGGTCCAGGATTAAAATCCAGAATGTTCTCACAGTAACACCAATAGATACAATTGTTTTTGATGCAATTCAGATGCTTTACTAATGCCTTTATCCAAAGATCTGATACTGTATATCAATGTTGACATATACCAAACAGTCTTAACGCCACCGTGACACACGATCAAAAGACATTGTGAAAGCCTAAAGATTTATTACAGCGGTCTATTTGGTGTCCTTTCTGCGAATAATTCACTCACACAAGTATGTTGTTCATCTACATATTTCTTTTAAAAAAACGAGGCTGTGATTACAGGAACGAAATAATAATAATAATAATAAGTGAACTGTGTAGGGTGCTCAAACGTAAAAAAAAAAAAAAAAAGGGATACACACAGCAGGAAAGAAAAATAGATCATGCCAGGAAAAAAATAAAATGACTACACTCACCTGAATAAAATTGAACCCATGTCCCTTTTGATGGTTCCCCCTAAAAAATATAGTTCATTAGTGATATTGTAACAGCATAACATTGCTATTAGTTAAAATGATCCTCAATATGTAAAGAGCAGACTGAAATGATCAGGGATATTGTTTTGAAAAAAAAAAAAAAAAGATTGTTTCACATGCTGGGATCCAGTGTGCAGAGTGGTACACAAGGTCAGAAACAATAGACCTTCAGTGATTTTACTTGTATTGTTAAAATCAGAGGGTTTGCAAATCCATCATATATGACCATTAAATAAGCAACATTGCACTGTAAATGTGGGCTACATGGTCAAGTTCTCAGAAACCCAAGGGGCTCAGTTATCCAAGATTAGTTTCAATAAGATTTCTCGTGATGTGACCCATTCCCCAACATACATAGAACTGCACATAATGGATTTAGAGGGGTTTAAATTACCTGTTATCAGCTGATGCCATGTTATCTGTAGCATTTCTATCGTAAGCCCGAGGTGGCTCTTGGCATTCCATTGGCTAGATTTAAAAGAAAACCAACACATGTATCTTAATATGTACGAGTAAGACAACCAACATTAAATAAACAACAAAATAAGTAAATAATGTGACAGTAAGGTGTGCTAAAATCCTATGCTATTACCTAAGTTTTTGCAGCAGTCAAATCCAGGGTTATTATCATGTTTAACAGTTGTAAAAGTGATATGCACTGGATAGTATCAACCTACTTGTGTAACTTCAAATATATATAGTCTAAAAAATTGTTTATAAATTCTGTGTACAACACTTTGGTTGAAAATTAGAATAAAAAAAAACATGAACTTTGTAATTTCTGTAATAAGTCCATCATTTTCAACGCATTTGCTTTAATTCTAGGTTTACCACAAGTTATGTTTTGATTTTTATGTGGTCAGACTTTTGTCTACATCACAAACCGAACATCTAATTATATTGGTTATCTACCAATAAAATGCACACATTGGTCACCACAAGTTGACCAAGAGATGTTTTTGTATAACCAAGACATTACTAAAACATATTTAATGGAGTCCAATGCACGTCACTGTGGTGTGCCGACAAATGCTTTGAACACTGTGGTCTGATCTGCTGAGGTAAATACAAAATATAAAATCACACACCTAGCATAAACATGAGTCAGTGATTTCATCAAAACACTATTAAGACAAAAGCGAGCCCTGCAATTTACCTCTGATTTTCCACAGAGACACATTGTGAACAAGGACATGAGGGATTTTAAGATAATTAGCTGTTCCTGTCACTGTTTCGTACCACATTACACTTTAATGTGTAGTGTTTTGGGACGTCATTTAAATGGATAGTTCACACAAACATGACAATTCAAGAAACAGTCATTTCAGGGCTCTAACAGGCATTAGGACGAACGTAAAGAGGGCGCGTGAGACGCGCACAAGTCAGCAATACTTCTGATGATTTATTGTGCACAATGACAAACAGGAGCGCAACATTCAGGGATTAAAATTAACCCTCCAACCCACCAAATGCGGATAAAAACGGGTAATGCGGCCAAATCACGAGCCAATTTGACGTGTTTCTATGTTTACTCACTTTGCTGGGGAAGTTTGTGTAAGCCAAATCTGCACGGAGAACTCGTGAGTCCTCATGATATATTAAATACAGTGTATTGCGCAGAATCTGTGTATTTCTGGCTTACTTGAAGACGCACGTCACTAAGCAACAAATAACGGCGCGCTTGTTCACTTGCATTGAAGTAAAAGCGAATATTGAAAAGCATTTGGTAAACAAAAAAAGACATTGTTATTTTTCAAAATCCTACATGTACTGTAAAAATAATTTTTTGGTAAACGGCCGTTAAAATCGATTCTCTTTTTCCGTTTTCGAAACTTGTGTTGTGTTGGTCCGATCGATTGTGAAATCGATTTTCGAATGTAAAGTGACTAGTCTGGTTACCAACATTCTTCAAAGCATCGTCTTTCGAGTTCAAAAATAGAAAGAAACTCATAGACCAACGCCACTTTTGCGTCATCGAAGGGTAACGCCCCCTTTTGGGGGAAAACACCTCTATACTGTCTATGGGAAAACAAACGGATTCCCATGAGAACAGAACTCGCACTAGATCTGCAAAGTTTCTTGATAGCAAAAATGGCACAAACTTAAAGAAGCTAACGTTACTGAATACAGGGTTACAGAGGTGTCCCTTTGAAATGGTCGAAAACTGGATTAATGACCCCACACAGCGGCCAAATATGGACTATTCAGACATCTAACGATACCACTATCTCGTGGAATCGCCAAGTAAGCACGTAGCCTTTTTTTTTCATTAACACTCACAGTATGACAAACTAGACGATGAATGGATCATATTTAACTTGATTTAAGCTATTGACATAGTCTAATAAGGTAATGTTAGCTGCTAACAGCTTAGTCTTTCTAATAGCTAGTCGACAACAAAACTGTCAATAGCGTAAATCAAGTTAAATATGATCCAAGTGACATGGCCTCATCGTCTAGTAGTTTGTCATAGGCTACTGTGAGTGTGTAAATGATAAATAAATAAATAAAAAAGGCTACTTACTTGGTGATTCCACGAGATAGTGGTATCGTTAGATGTCTGAATAGTCCATATTTGGCCGCTGTGTGGGGTCATTAATCCAGTTTTCGACCATTTCAAAGGGACACCTCTGTAACCCTGTATTCAGTAACGTTAGCTTCTTTAAGTTTGTGCCATTTTTGCTATCAAGAAACTTTGCAGATCTAGTGCGAGTTCTGTTCTCATTGGAATCCGTATGTTTTCCCATAGACAGTATAGAGGTGTTTTCCCCCAAAAAGGGGGCGTTACCCTTCGATGACGCAAAAGTGGCGTTGGTCTATAGGTTTGGAACAGCTGATGACAAAATTTTCATTTTTGGGTGAACTATCCCTTTAAGTGCTTGCACAGCTGATGCCAATTGGTTGCTTACTGGCCCAAGCAAAATAAAAAATAAAAAACGTAACTGTCCGGCAAGCGAAAATTGTAAGTCTTATTGCATGTGGGACAAGTTACACTCCTAAACTGAATACTTTAGATTAGTGGTTTGTTGCAAACCACTAAGTAAGAGCAATTGCAATAGTGATGCTTGCCTTGCTTGCAGAAAGACAGAGAAGGCCATGGAGATAAGACTAAAAATCAGACTTACAGTGGGGGCGTCCTGGTTGTCAGAGAGCTCAGTCAGTGTGGGACTGTGTTTGGGCTTCCTGTTTCTCTGAGCCTCGTGTGGCAGCAGCAGCAGACGTCTGTCACACTCCTCTGTAACCGCCACACCCGGAGACGGGATGTTCTCTTTATCACCCTCGACCCTGAGAAAGACACCGTTCGCTTTCAGACACCACAGAATTATGAGAGATGAGACTTCCTGTGCTTGTCCTTTACTCGAGGGATCGAATCCGAAGAGCACAGTAGAATGAAGTTGTGATACCTCAGCTACTTAAAGCAGGCGTGACTGTTTATTTACATCTATGTAACAGCACAACTGTTGAGCCACTAATCTAATGTTTGCAGTGTGTCTGTAGATAGTTTGATTCAGAGTTTCTGTCAACAGGATTAGTTTGATCACTCTGAGATCCAGTCATCAACAACCCAAGCTGGAATGGAAATCAGATTCATAAGAATGATTTAGATTTTTCAGTGATTTTTCCATTAATCACTGTGATTATATGGGATTAACTAAACACTTTTGTAAAGTTAAAATTAGCTATAGGCCGATTGAGCTGCTGATAATCTTAAAATCTTAAAAATTATTTGTTTGGGGTAGTCTTTTACATAAATGTTTAAAATTGTCTTATTATTAATAATCCTATATTGAACGTTTTTATTTTGGATTTTATTACATTTTTGTTTGTATTTTCATTTTTATGTTTTATTATGTTTCTAATCTTGTGAAGCGCTTTAAGATACTTTTAAAGGCGCTATATAAAATAAAGTTTATTATTAATAATAATTATTCTTATTATTCTTATTAATAATAATAAACTTCATATTAGTATTACTATAATATTACTATAATATTATTATTAATAATAAACTCTATATTATTATTAAAAAATAGCCAAGTATCTACTATATTTATCTACTAATATTCATATTCAGTGTCGGCTGTAGGAAGCTGAACATCCTTGTTAATGGATAAAACACATTTAAAAAATTTGTTTTATTTATTTTAAAAACATTTGTTTTAATACGGTCTTTAATACTAAACCTAGTTTTAATATATTTTGAATAAAATGAAGTGTTAAATGTGTTAGTGCATCTTATGTGTATATATCATTACATATAATTTATATGGTATATATCATTTACGTAGATGGTGTATATACATTTGGAGACCATTTGGTATCAAATTTCTGAATTTATAATTTCCAAAATAAATAAATAAATAAAATATTCTAAATATGACTGCATTTATTTAATCAAAAATACATTAAAAATTACTCCAATCATTACTCCAGTCTTCAGTGTCACATGATCCTTCAGAAATCATTTAATAAGCAAATTTGATGTTCAAGAAACATTTTTTTATTATCAATGTTGAAAACAGTTGTGCTGCATCATATTTTTGAGATAAAACTGTGATCATTTTCTTTTCAGGATTCTTTAATGAATAAAAAGTTCAAAATGTCAATGTCATTTAAAAGAACATCATTTGAAACAGAAATACTTTGCAACATTATACATGTCTCATCTGTCATTTTCTATTAATTTAATGCATCCTTGCTGAATATAAATAATTTCATTCAACAAAAAAAATATTAAATTATTGCAGTTTTGATGAGTTGCAAAACACCTTGAGCAACTAAGAAGCATGTAAACCAGAGGTCTCAAACTCGCGGCCCGCGGGCCATTTGCGGCCCGCGGCATGATATTTTGTGGCCCCCTACTTGATATTAAAGTTTAATGTTAGTGCGGCCCGCCGTTGCGTTTGCCGCGTTTTTTTTTATTATTATTATTTTTATCCCTTATGGGCTACCATATGTAGTCTCGTGACAGCTTACCGTAGGTTTGTTGTCAATAGTTGTCATAGACAACCACGAAGTACTGCGCCTGGAAAAAAATGAGCGCGTCGCTTCAATTATGAGCGCGCTCGGCGCTTGATGCGCGCCTATTTGAAACCTACTTGAGCGTGCAAAATATGTGAGCGTGATATGTGAACAGGCATAAGGCGAGCTACCACCACCAAATCAGGCCACAGCTACTGATAGCTCGCGAGCGACGTGTTGGATATCCCTGCTCTAAAACAATGAATGTGAGAATAATCATTTTGAGCTTGTAATATGTGTTGTGTCTGAACGCGTTCAATGACGATAGTTCATAAACTCGTTCATATTTTGGGCGAACGTGAACTGAACGTAACCTACTGTATTACTGCCTGATGAACGTTACAGTGAACTCGTTCATTCAAGTGTTTGTGAACCGAGGAGGCGTCGAAAGATCATTTAAAAAAGGGTTTTATGAGGTCGGCGAGGATGGGAAAATCTTACATGTCTGTGCAAACTCTGCCCGTCGACAAAATGATTGTTATCTGTGGTTGTATATGGGCTGTGGCAATAATAATAGCTTAATAATAAAAAAGAAGCTCGCAGCAACATATGGAAAAAAAGAACTAGTTCATTTTAAAATTTGTGAATTGAACTTTAACTAGTTCATGTAATGAACTTGGTCCAACAGGTTGATAAGAAGGTTTGCTTTGATATGTGCAAAGTCAGTAATTTGCCTGAGACACTATACATGTGTAGAAAGAATTATTTGTATTTCAAAAGCAGTAATTGTTTTTCTAAGTATAATAAAAGGAAATGTGCCTTTTGGGGGAAAAAATTCAATATAATAGTGTTGTATAAAGAAAATAAAAAGCAAATATGACTATCATCACAACAAAGATGTTGTGTATAAGAAAAAGACAAAGAAAGTTTGTAAAATTAACTCCAATTAACAGCTCATGAAGAACCAATCATGTACAGAAAGGAATGTTCAAATTCAGAGAAACAGTTCAGAGGAAACATTAATAAAAAAGATTGAGAAGATTGGATCAGTTGTGCTCCATTTTTGGAATACTTAAATACATTTTTTTTTTTTTTTTTTGGGGGGGGGGGGGGGGGGGTAAGGGTACTTGATGCGGCCCGGCCTGACCCAGACTCTATCTCCAGCGGCCCCCAGTTAATTTGAGTTTGAGACCCCTGATGTAAACGCTGTGACTGGATATCTGGTTGGCCACTACTAAGACCGGCTACCATGCCCTTTGGCTGCATCCGCACCAGAGTCAACAGAACCCAAGGAAAGCTGTATTTCAGGAGTAACCTGCCCCTACCTGAAGTTCTGCTCCTGTTCTCGCAGATGTCTCCTCCTCTCTCGGGCCGTTGTCACAGGAGATGAAAAGTAGGAAGTCGTATCCAAGCCCTCTGAACTCTGACCTGTGTGCATGTGTGTGTTGAAGAGGTGCTGCTCGACCGCTGAGCGAATGGTCTCCTCCAGAAAACTGAGTAGAGAGAGAGAGAGGGGGATGTAAATGTTCAAACCATGATTGCTTTAATTACATGAGCAATGGAACTCTTCTGTCTATCTAGAAGACTGACTAATCATTGATTCAAATAATTGAATTGTCATATTTTGGCATTGCATAATCACTTACTTTGTTAAGTCAGGTCTGCAGTGTCCAGGAGAGATTTGTGAGCTAAAGAGAAGAACATATGAAAAAAGGGACAAAATACTCGATTATTAAGCTTTGATAAAATTTAATGGGGCCAAAAACAACATTGGACCCATTGACAATTTATATATAGTAAATGGGTCCAATATAAACTGTATTGAGATATATATATCTCATATATATATATATATATATACAATTAATCTCTATGATGTTGTGGGTGGTTGAAAGGGTGTAACTATGGGGTTGCTAAGGTGTTCTTAGTAGTTTGAGGGCATTGCTAGGGTGTTCTGGGTGGTGTGCTACTTAATATTTTTGTGCACATCATTTTTCTTTCTTCATAAAAACTACAGCATTTATTTTAAATGTATGTATATATATATATATATATATATATATATATTATATATACTATATATATATATATATTATATATACACACACATTTTTATTGCAACGATGAAACTATCTTTACTTTGACTTTTGATTATTTTAACGGATTCTTGCCAAATAGAAGTCATTTATTTGTTTTGTTTTAATTATTACTGATCCAAACTTTTGAACGGTAATATACATTTATATATATAAAGTTACTCTTGTCAACTCAATGAGTTTCCCTGTTAATCAGGTTTAAACAGTTGTAAACTGATATCAGAGATATATGTATATATATATGTATATGTATATATGTATTTCCCTGAAAATAATAGCACACCTTAGAACGTTCATCAACCAATTGTATTCAAGGATTCAACAGCCCCGTAGTATAAGCGTTGAAGAGAACACTGCATTGTTTTGAAGCCAGGAAATCTCCTATTAGATTACGAACCCTTTCTGACCATCCAGAAAAAAAAATTGTTTTTAGATTTTTTTTTTTTTTTTTTTTAGTTTTTGTGGTGGTAAATCCTCTTACAATCTAAAAATAGCAGCATTATCTTTTGGATCTGGAAATACTGCATACACAACAGTCTTTACCAGCAGCGCTCTCATGGTCAGAGCCAGTTGACCGCTCACAGCTGACTACTCGCTATTTAAACACCATGAGTGAGTAAACAATTTTCTCAGTATTGAGCAGTACCAAAAGGAATGCAAACGTAGATGCTGTTAAAGACTAGCAAGAATATGGCAGTGAGAACAGATAAGCGATGAGACACAGCTCTAAAGATGATTTGATGAGGTCTGTCGGTCTTGCATAACACAGCGGTCATAGGGCGAGGACTGAGACGAAGCTGGCACAAAACTAGTCTGATACCGAAGTCATTTCTTCCATACAGTCATCTCCCAAATCTAGTTAACAGCTGTGGGCAAAAAAGGAGGGAACCAAACTAGCGATACTAACCGAAAAAAGTAAACGGGGAAGTCAATTCGAAATATCTTCTCTAATGTTCAGCAGAATAAAAAACATGAATACAGGTTTAGAACAACTTTACGGTAAGTAAAGGATGACAGAATATTTGGTTGAACTACCCCTTTAAGGATCATAATGCAATTATTATGTCATCAATATAAGCTTAAGAGGGCAAGCTTAAGTGACTTGCCATTTTGATTTTAAAAATTGTATTTTTAAAAGTTCTTACTGTATTGTTGATCAAATAAATGCAGTCTTGAGCAGCTTTCAAAAACATAAAAATAAATCTTGCCGATCAACATAATTGTATAGATCTCTCTCAATAGATTTCTAACTTTTTGTTGCAGTAAAAAACACAATAACTATAAAACAACAAACTTGGCAGGCTAAAATTATTTGTTCAATGACTGCCATCTTTTCAAACACACCTCAACCATGTACACACCCGAACAAGAGGTTAAAGGTTACAGAAAACACACTAGTATATTATATTTACTTGCTTGCACTCCTTAAAGGAGTAGTTCACTTTTAAAAAAACTTTTGCTGATAATTTACTCACCTCCATGTCATCCAAGCAATCCATGATATTCTTTCTTCAGTCGAAAAGAAATTAAGAAATTTTCTCCATATAATGCACTTTACTGCTAACCAAACGGTTCACGGTCCAAAAGACAGTTTCAGTGCAAACTGTTCAAACTGTTCAAAGGGCTTTAAGCGATTCAAGACGATGAATAAGGGTCTTATCAAGTGAAACGATCGCTCATTTAATAACTAAATAACAAAGTTCAAGTTTTATAAGCTCAAATGGTCGCCTTGCTCTGTTCTGTGATGCGCGTTCGTGACTCTCCTGTTCGAACTCGTTCATCAAAATGAATGAATCTTATTTTGTGTCATTTGGTTCATTCAACGAACGAAATGAATGAACTGACTCGGGAAAAGATTCGTTCATTTTGATAAACGAGTTCGAACAGGAGAGTCACGAACGCGCATCACAGAACAGAGCAAGGCGACCATTTGAGCTTATAAAACTTATTGTTATTTTTTTTTAATAAGCGATCGTTTGATGAATAAGACCCTTATTCATCTGAAGTCGTTTAAAGCCATTTGAACAGTTTGCAGTTTGCACTGAAACTGTCTTTTGGACTTTGAACCGTTTGGTTCCCACTGAAGTCCATTATATGGAGAAAAATCCTGGAATGTTTTCATCAAAAACCTTAATTTCTTTTCGACTGAAGAAAGAAAGACATGGACATCTTGGATGACATCTTTTTTGTAAAGTGAACTACTCCTTTAAGGCTTTCACCTTAGTCGTAAGCGTTGGTAATGATATGAGGATAAGTACACAATAAAGAGAATTTACATTTTTGTGTGAACTATTCCTTAAGGCTCTCTGCTCATGTTCACAGCACTAGTGCCCGAGAGAGAGCGTGAGCGTCAGGAGCAGGAGGGTTGGGTAAACTGCGATGGGAAATGTGTGAAGGGTCAGTTGCTATGGTACGAGAGGGGACCTGAGCTGATGCAATGAGTCAACACATGAAGGAACTGAGAAAACAACCACAGGAGAGGTTTGTTTTGACCTGTTCGCTCCCAGATTCAGACCGTACTCAACCGGAAAACCATTAGCAGCTGTCCCTGACATGACGCTAAGAGGATTTCAGATTTTTCATTTGTTGTGTTATGTAAAAGATATGTGACATTTACTTTACTACCACAATTCACCAAGCAGCTGAAGCTTAATGTAAAAAAATGAACGCAAAGTTTGAGGGCGTAAATTGAAACTCGTATGTAGATCATTTCCATTTTGAGAGATTATAAAAAGTTCATTCACACCACCAAAATAACATGTTTTTCAGCAACAGGGAGAACAGAAGGAAAGAAAGAGAGAGAGAAACTGTGACTGGGTCCTACCTAATGTAAAAAGGAGATATTGGTCTTTCATCTTCTTGGAAGCTGGAATGGAGAAGAAAGGGGTCAGAATCACTGAACAGCTCAATCTACACATATCGTGTATTTGTCAGAGTAAACAAAACTGTTTTTTTGGAGCACATGGTCTGAGTGTCTAAGAGTGCCTATTGTCGAGTGAACAATGAACACGTAGTGCCGCAGTTTAGGGCTTTTGTTTGACTTGTCTCCAGTAATTACTACAGCTGGAAAGAACCGTATCCACTCCACATGCTGGAGTCCGGCCAACAAAACATGATGAGCTCAGGAGTGGATGTTCCACACATAATCAGATGTGTTGGGAAACAATATTGTTATGGAGAACAAAACAACCCACATCTCCAAGAAATCAGTGGTACTGCATTAGAATCAATAAACAATGCCTAATATAGTCATGATGTAGTAGCTGAATGGCCCATAAAAAAAGAAAAGACAACAACGCTTTGCTTTTTGAGAGGAATATCAATGGAAATGGATTAAAAAGAGTATAACATGTAATACACCCCAAAATAAATACATTAAACAGAATTTTTGTAAAACGTATTTAGCAGATTTTTACAAAACATTGATCAACAATCATCAGATACATAATATATACACTCACCTAAAGGATTATTAGGAACACCATACTAATTCGGTGTTTGACCCCCTTTCGCCTTCAGAACTCTTTAGAAATGTTGGCCCATATTGATAGGATCGCATCTTGCAGTTGATGGAGATTTGTGGGATGCACGAAGCTCCCGTTCCACCACATCCCAAAGATGCTCTATTGGGTTGAGATCTGGTGACTGTGGGGGCCATTTTAGTGCAGTGAACTCATTGTCATGTTCAAGAAACCAATTTGAAATGATTCGAGCTTTGTGATATGGTGCATTATCCTGCTGGAAGTAGCCGTCAGAGGATGGGTACATGGTGGCCATAAAGGGATGGACATGGTCAGAAACAATGCTCAGGTAGGCCGTGGCATTTAAACGATGCCTAATTGGCACTAAGGGGCCTAAAGTGTGCCAATAAAACATCCCCCACACCATTACACCACCACCACCAGCCTGCACAGTGGTAACAAGGCATGATGGATCCATGTTTAAATTCTGACTCTACCATCTGAATGTCTCAGACAGAAATCGAGACTCATCAGACCAGACAACATTTTTCCAGTCTTCAACTGTCCAATTTTGGTGAGCTCTTGCAAATTGTAGCCTCTTTTTCCTATTTGTAGTGGAGATGAGTGGTACCCGGTTTGGTCTTCTGCTGTTGTGGCCCAACCACCTCAAGGTTGTGCGTGTTGTGGCTTCACAAATGCTTTGCTGCATACCTCGGTTGTAACGAGTGGTTATTTCAGTCAAAATTGCTCTTCTATCAGCTTGAATCAGTCGGCCCATTCTCCTCTGACCTCTAGCATCAACAAGGCATTTTCACCCACAGGACTGCCGTGCCGCATACGGGATGTTTTTCCACTTCCACATTATTCTTTGTAAACCCTAGACAGCTAGTTACACACAAACCCATCTCCACTCACTCCTTTCATTTGCTCCAGATGAATATTGTTGGCTTTACAGGACTTGAATTTCAGCATGTGATTGCACTTATAGGGCATTATTTTACTCATTCCCACAGAATTTGTGTTCTGACCCAAAGTGTGGCACATAAAGCCGCCTCTCAGCACTAAATTGAGTTATTTTTCGCTGCTTATTGCACTTAAAAAGTCAAATACACACAAAATGTCAAAATGCCGGTCTTGGCGAGTATTCATGTAAACACAGTCAGTTATGTGTTAAGTGAATGTAATCAGTTGAGAAAGAAAACACATGTCTAACAGTATACTGGATCCGTGCGTCAGGTATTAAAGTGACAGCAGCCTAATACTCCGGCTGCCACATTATGAGATATTTTTTTTAAAAATGAGAACATCTGAGACTTATATTACACTTGGTAAAAAAGGAGCATAATAGGTCCCCTATGAGACATGTCTTTTCAGCACAGCTGAAAGCGTAGTCAAATAATCCATAATATTCATAAACAAACATGAAAGGGGCATTACATTTGAATAACTTGACAATGTACATATTCAAATTGTGTAGAAAACTGTGTACCTTTTTGTGGGCCCAAATTCTTGTTATAATCCATGTAATTACTACGTTTGGAATGTGTTAAAAACAGTACTAGAAATGTTGGGATCATTGAAAGGTCCATTCATTGAGAGACTTGGCATGCACTGTTCGTGAGTACGTGCGACATTACCATGAATGCTGTTCTAAGTGTGTGTGTGTGTGTGTCAGAAAAGGGAATTAAATAATCAGAGAGTTGGCCACACTAAATCATAACCATCCAATCCATAGGATTTAGGTCCCGTTTACACAGGAAATCAAAAATAAATAAATAAAACCAAGCCAATTTGGCTCCAAACAGCTCATAAATCACATGATTACCAAACAAAGTTGCAAAAAAGTGTGTTTGTATGTTTATCGGGGTGCTTCCCTTTTGTTGTAAAAATGTGAAACGGCCCTTGCCACCTCACTGTAAAGCCTACTAAGAATTAGGGTACCGCACATACCTGAAAAGACATTTCGCAAGATTTCTTGGAGAATTTGAATAAAAGGGAAATATTTGTTCACTGGAGCTCTTAAGGGGTGTTACACAGTCTGACAAGGGTATTAAAATAATGACTATCGTCATGAATTACAAAACGGAAATCCTGCTAAGCCACTACCTCCCTGAGTGAACAACAAGGCCCTTTTACTGAGCTTTTGTTCTGTGAGAAATTATGGAAAATTACTTGACTATATCAAGAAAAATGTTTATGATCATTACTGACCGCAGTTAAATCAATGCATTCATCTACAGATTCCTTATTGCACAAGAACCACAAAAGCATTTTACTAAATGCATTCTTGAGGTGTGTATGCTGATAATCCTACAGCAGTCACAAAAGTATGCTGTCGTCTAATATTTGGCACAAAGGCGAGATTGCGGGATTGCTTTTCCCTTCAAAGACCCACAGGAAGATGCAAGGTCCGCATATACGTACTGAAAGTGACAGCAAGCTGACAAGACAGCTGGATCAACTGAAAAACTGTAGTTTTCTGAATTCAAGGGTTAATTATTGGAAGGCTGACTTGTTGGATAAAATATCACAATGGGGAATTGTGGATCTATATACACACACATATATATATATATATATATATATATATATATATATATTAGGGATGCACAATATATCGGCCAGCATATCGGTATCGGCCGATATATGTTCATTTTTAATGTTATCGTTATCGGCCTGGTAAGAAAATGTGGCCGATATATTAAAGCCGATAAATAATGTAATATTCCCTTAGGCTGAGACACTTGTTGAGCACTGTTTATGTTTTATGTCTTAAAATATGGTTGAAATCTCTTCAAAAAATGAAAATACGGTTTGGTACAACATGTGCAGTGCAAATCTGTCATATTGGCTATACAACACTATAATGAGAACATCATTATAATTGTGCGCTTGGGACATGGATTTAATTGTGAGACTTTTGTTTTTGTAATCAGGCTCTCAAAATTAGATAAAAATTTGGATTTAAATCTATCGGCCGATATATCGGTTATCGGCTTTCAAATATAAAGAATTATCGGTTATCGGCCAAAATTTTCATATCGGTGCATCACTAATGTGTGTATATATATATATATATAAAAAAAAAAATTTCTCCAAATACCATGGGGAACTGATTGGATGGTTGTGGTTTGCTATTGGTTGATCTCATATGATTGACAGGTTGCTCCGCCCTCACTTCAGCAAACACGTAATCAGAGAAGAGAATGAGAAGAGATGTCAGTGCAAAGGGGGAAGTTGTTTTGATTAAAGATTACGAGGGGATGTGATTCAAGAAAATAAATAAAGATGTGCACGGATAAATCATTTTAAATAAATACTGCAATAAGCTTTTTTTTTTATTGTCAATTTTGATTTCATGGTGACTTTAATGTTGTTCCTAAATGGTAGAATAGAACCAGAGGTGGAGCATGTTATTATATTATTTTGCTGAAATATTATGACGAGCATAACACCATTTTAATATTAGTTAGCCTGTCTGAGAAGACATTCACCCCAGACAGTGTTACATAAGCGTGTCAGGTACAGTAACTCTCAAATCAATTGTACTTATTGACATACCCATTTAGAACATTTCACAAGATGTAAACAACACTGGTCCAGAAGCACTTCCTGTTTCAGTTTTTTAACACTACATAAAAGCTGGGATAAAATACAACAAACAGAACATTTAAAACTGAATCAAAAAGTTAAACAAACATCTTTAAGATGTTTTCTTTACATGTGAAATAAAGAAAACAGTTACAAACTGAAACAGGAAGTGCTTCTGGACCATTGTTGTTTACATCTTGTGAAATGGTCTATACATATAGTGGTGTTTTTAAACAAAAATATATTTTTGGGAAGGACAAGGGGTAAGTTAATAAAATAAAAGATTTCACTGGGATTATTGTCTGGTTTGAATCTTTCTTTGACATTTCTAAAGCCGTGTAGTAAAGGTAAAGAATGAAACACAAAGCAGGTTATTAACCTGCATACACTGGTATAGTTTAACTTAAAGACAAGCTCATATTTTGCATGATTATATTTTCATTAGTATGTACTGTTTTGCTGCACAAATTAAAGGTGCATTGCGCAAGTCTCTGAGTTTTTGCAGAACTACGCCCCCTCTGGCGACAAGCGAAACTGCAATCAGAGGTGTGCACGCTCATGGAGCACACACACGCTTGCACGAGCTGTTCATAACCAAAGGAGCATCATTCATTTTAAATAAACGAAAGGAAAGGCATTTGAGTAAATTACACACTTATGTGTGTGTGAGGGGAAAACGAGGGTAGTAGAAAACTTTGTTTTTTGTTTCCATCTATCTCCATGTTGAACTGTTTTATGTGCTTACTGTATCCACTTATGATTGTATTATTATGGAAACGCGTTCATGAACAATATAAGTTATTACTCTGTATAGGATCCCGTTTGAGCCCTAGAGCAGACCGGAGATCTCTCCATTTGTTGAAAGCCTTCCCGATGTTGACTCTCGTCTTATTCCGACGCCTGGCACGAAACAAAAGTTTTCTTACGTGGAGTTTGCGTTGGGGTTTGTAATGAACTACAAGCCGGTCTCTTTAAATCAAAGGCCGGTCTCTTTGAAGAAAAATTTATTTTTGGAAAGGACAAGTGCGAAGGACAAGGGGTAAGTTAATAAAATAAAAGATTTCACTGGGATTATTGTCTGGTTTGAATCTTTCTTTGACGTTTCTAAAGCCCTGCAGTAAAGGTAAAGAATGAAACACAAAGCAGGTTATTAACCTGCATACACTGGTATAGTTTAGCTCATATTTTGCATGGTTATATTTTGAAAGCCTTCCCGATGTTGACTCTTGTCTTATTCCCGACGCCTGGCACTAGACAAAAGTTTTCTTTTCTTTGTCTCACGTGGAGTTTGCGTTGGGGTTTGTAATGAACTACAAGCCGGTCTCTTTGAATCAAAGACTGGTCTCTTTGAGCCGTCATCATATTAGAGTGATTTCTGAAGGATCATGTGACACTGAAGACTGGAGTAATGATGCTGAAAATTCAGCTTTGATCACAGGAATAAACAACATTTTGCAATACGTGTATATACAAATAGAAACAGTTATTTTAAATCGTTAATATTTCACAAAATTACTTTTTTTACGGCATTTGTGAGCATAAGAGACTTCTTTCTAAAACAGGAAAAAAATGGTACTGCCACCAAACTTTTGAAAGCTATAAGTATAAACTGACCTGTTGAAGGTCTCAGTGGATGTGGTGGTCTGAGGGGTCAGATTCATGCCGTCAGCGCTGAAGCTTATGCCCCGTCCTGGACCGTGCAGAGGAAACTGATCTCTAGCCCCCAAGCTTTTGTCTGAACGATGGGACAAAAGCCTGGACTCGGGATCACCAGAGGACACCGGTTGAGGAAAACTTCTAGGCATTTCCTCTGTCTTTAACTTCTTCACCTGAAGGATACAAAGCAAAAGAAAGATAAAGATACTGTAGAGGAACAGAGGGTGAAGCTGTGGTTTTGTTGGATTCCTGAAGGAAACACCCTTTGACTGACAAAGACACAAGTAAAAGGTATTTATAAATAAGCTTAGCTCACATGTCTTACCTTGCTAAACGATAAAGGCTGTACACGCCGAAAACCGGTTGAATAAGTGTAAGAGGTAAAAAAACGGACCCGCACAAGAGCCACGTCAAATTCAGATCGATTCATTGTCACTTATTGATGCCGAACAGCTAATTAACCTTTAAAAGAATAATACTCATGTATTACTGGTAAACAGCCCTTAAACTATTCTAAACCACTTGTTTTAGGGTCCGCAGAAAATGGCACCATCATCCTGGGACAGCGGCTGCAAAACTGACTCTGAAATCTAAACTTTTAAACATTGATTTTTTAAATAACAAACCAATCTCGCACAGCGAAGCAGAAGAGATGACCAGATTTAGCTCACAGAGCAAATGAGATCGTGCAACAAATTCACGCAACACAAAGACTGCAATAGGATTAGATTGATCTTCAACACAACTAGTCCCGAAGGCACAGGCGGGTCAGTGGGAAATGGCTTTAACCACGGTAAAGAGGACACTATCGATCGAGTCCATGTGGGACCCATTTAAGGGTGAGATCTGGACATCGATATGCTAATGATGATGCAAACCGCGCCGGAAAATCATTGTTTTATTGAATCCTGCATTAAACGACTGACTGTGTATTGAAGGATTGAAGCACTAAGGTCACACAAAGGCATTGAATTGTGGCGTGATCTTTTAAGATAGTGGACGTAAATGAAAAGGTCACCCAATTACACTACCGTTCACAATTTCAACAGGTCAGTGGGCTTCACATGGACATTACCTGCTGTGTGTGTGCGTGTGTTATTTTTTTAGTTTTTGAAAGAAGTCTCTTCTCCCAACCAAGGCTGCATTTATTCGATCAAAAATGCAATAAAGAGCAATATTGTGAATATTATTACATATTATTCTATCTTCTATTTTACAGTTTTTCTCAGTCACTTTGCTGCATTTCTCACATCACTATTTACATTTGCACAACAGTTAGTTCAACCTCCACAACATTTTGTCATTTGTGCACATTATAGTAGCAGTTTCTCATTCCTTCCAACAAATTGCAAATGCTTTTGGACATGCATCAATTTCTTTCATACAACTCACTGCTGTTTTATAACATTATCATTTGCTTATGTCATATCAGTCCAAATTAACTATACTTGTGAATGCTGAATAGTCATTCCATATAAAACTAATAGTCCTCATTTCATTGCTTGAGTCATCACATACAAAAATGTTAAACTAGTTGTCAAAATCTGTCAAGCAAATTTTAATTTTTTTTTAATCTTTTAAAATGGATGCCAATAAGATTCTGAATGGAAAGTATACTTTAAAATGTTGCCAAATGGTTCCATTGACAAGACCAAAGTGACCTGTGTGTTTTGTTGTTATGAACTGAGCTATCAACATAGTAACACGTCCAGTCTGAAATACCAGCTGATGGCCAAGCACACACACATACACATACAGCTGATGCGAATTCTCTGCCCCCTCGTCAATACCAGGACCATGTCAGTATTTCTTTCACCCTTTTATTGATGGACAGTTTTACATTGTGTGAGAGATTACTTGCTCCAAGTGAGAACGTTAGTGTGAAATTGAACACAGAATATGCCATTGTTGTTTTCAATTAAAAAAATTTGCACAAAGCAAGCCAATCCACTTTTCCATGTTGATAAGAGCATTAAAATGAGAAAAAAATAAAGGAACAAAAAGAAAGCAAGAGACATTTAGAATAGATAAAAATGTGCGATTAATCGCGAGTTAACTATGACATTAATCCGAATTAATCGTGAGTTAAATATGACATTAATGCGATTAATCACAAGTTAGCTATGACATTAATGCAATTAATCGCGAGTTAAATATGACATTAATGCGATTAATCGTGAGTTAACTATGACATTAATGCGATTAATCGCGAGTTAACTATGACATTAATGCGATTAATCACGAGTTAACTATGACATTAATGCAATTAATCGCGAGTTAAATATGACACTAATGTGATTAATCGCAATTAAATATTTTAATCGTTTAACAGCACTAATATATATATATGTGTGTGTGTGTTTTGATGAAAAGGGTCATCATTTTCATTAAAAACTGACCTTTTGTGTTCCAAAGAAGGCAGAAAGTCTTACGGTTTTGAACAGAATAATAATTTTCATTAATTTTCAGTGATCTAATTCTTTAAGGTACACAAAATAAATGTTTCTCTGCTCTTTGCAGAGTCTTGCAGTGATTCTTACCTTCTTTTTTCTTGGCGTAGGTATAGGGTTGTCGGGACTCGACTCACTTTCTCTTGACGGGCCTGTATTGTCAGCTGAAGTGCCTGGGCTGACCTAACGAAAAGACCAGGTGATCAGTCACCAATCTTTAATTTATAGTTTTCATAAAACAATAATAAATTATATTTAAGGGTAAACTGTAAAACTTGATTTTGAAAAAAAAAATGTTCTCTGTCCTCATCTCTCACTGATAGAAAGTCTTTCAATAATAACTGACAAGTTACATTTCAACTCATAGACTTATGAAGATAATCAATCACCTTGACTGAACAGTAAACAAAACACCAACAAATTATGCAAACATAAATCTAGAAAAATTCATCATTGTTATGGAATTTATGAAAAAATATTTTTGTTTTATAAACATTAGTTTAACACTTAACTGTCACCGTCCCACAGGTGGGACGTTTGCCACTATATTTTTAAAACAATAATATCTTAGTAAATACCTTAAATAATATTGACAAACTATATATCATTTGAAAGCTTACAATCTCTAGTTTCCATATTTGGTGACTTTTTGGTGATTTTCAAAATATATTACAGAGGAGCCATAATTTATCAATATAAAACAAGAATATTTTAATACTCATAAGGCGTGTTCAGACCTTTATTTTAAAATAGCAGTAAACATGAAAAATCATGCAAAAATTGGTAGATACCTCAGTTTGTTTTCATGCCAAAAGTTCAAAAGATAGAATCCATTCCAAAAGTTTGAAATATCAAGAAAAAAATAATAAATTCACCATTTGTGACGTGGCAGCTAGCTATGACTTACATGCGTGTTCTTTGTATGTGTTTCTTAGAGGTTCAATTCATATCAAAATCTGCCAAACTTCCCATGCTACTTCTGAATAGGATCTCTACTTCAGAAATTATATGAAAAATGTGAAAATAATGGTTCATATCACTCAAAACACGAATGGAAATGCAGGCGCCCTTATATGGGCAGTAATGGAGTCTGATTGTGCCCTAGTGAAAAAGTTTGGTACTGCGCTCAAACAAAATCTTACTGAAAGCTCATTTTTTGAGATATCAACCTAAAATTTGAAACACAACTTGTTCAGATTTTTGGCTTTGATCTTTCTGCCATTTTAGAGTAGCCCAGGTTTTGAAAATATATATTTTATGTAAAATATGAATAATTAATATTTTTACATTGTACATTTCCATAAACTCAAACTTCTATAACTTTTTTTCTGTTTCACTTTCTTAATTGATTTCACTTCTACAAAAATCTGCCAAATGTCTTCTTTAAAACAAGACCAATCATACAGTATATTCCAAAGCATTCTTAAATTACAACCATTTAAGTTTGAAATGTGCATTTTCATGTCTATTCAAAAAAGGGGGGGTGACAGTTAACAGGTTAAAAGAAATGCATTTTTTTTGAAAGACAGTCATGATATTTTGAATAAACTTTTTGCAGTGCATTCATATTTTTTGCCTAACCCTCAGAAAACAAGCCAAAAGCTTTTCCCCCATAACTGAAAATATACCTTTTAAAGTTAAATATTAGATTTTCAGCCATTTTGACAGCCCTAAATTACCTGTGCACTCAAATATGCGGTACATTTAGATTCTAGACACCCAAGAACATCCCAATGCAAAGTTCAAGTAAAGGACAAATAAACCCTCTGTAACCTTTGACCCTTGTTTAGTGAAATTTAATGATAAACAAACCATTTCCTTCACGCTTCTGTGACTATGTGTCAGCTGCGGATCAAAACAACAGAAAAATCAAATCATAAAACGTAGAAAAGTACAATGAAATTCTCCTATACAAGGAACCTTTGAGAGATAAGTTCCACTCAAACAAACTCATAATGCTATAAAATAAGTCAATAAACAAAAGAAATATGCATCTCCTTAGTCCACTTAACAAACCCATTAAACTATAACTTGAAAATAATCGGCCAAGAAATGTCTGCTGTATAAAGTTCTGCTTGTTTATGCTGGTTTTCCCAAAACAAAAACGAGGTAACCCGAGCAAGCCAGTCCGTCCAGTGCTACGTGTTAAGCTGAATGATTTCATTGACCCCTTATGTAAATGGAAACGTCTCCGCTGTAGGAAGTGGTCTTATTTTTCATGAAAGTCACGTCATGTCTTTTTTTCCATCAGCAATTCTGAATCTGTTTACAACATCATTTTGCCGATTACACGGTTCTCCCACAGGCCTTATCTGGTCAAACTCGGTTTGATCAGCACCACATGTCTATGTAAACAGAAGACTTTCAATAGCTTTGGATTTCAAAGATAACACAAAAACACAGCATAAGCCGGAACGTGTTAAGACCTTCCTCGGCTGAGATATTTCAGGAAGGTGGAAGATGGCGAAATATTTCAGATTTGCGAACGCAAAGACTCTTCCTGACAGGAAGCCGCAATGAGTCTCTGAAGATCCGAAGAAAGTTTAATAATAAATTCACTTTAGTAAATACAACAAGCACTTAATTCTTCTGTGGAAGTAACTGTATATTATGTTGTTGTGTAACTTGCGAATGGAGGTTGTAATTTATTACAGTCCTAAAAGCAGGAAGTGATACGTTTTATATATGTCATATGAAGTAGCTTAACAAAATATTTTTAAATTAATAGCTAGCAAACTCAAATGAATCACACTTTATATATAAATAAACACAAGTGTATATTTGTAGTCTCTAAAACAGATATTGATCCCTAAATAAAAAAAGAATAGAGCTGGGCAATGATTAATCGCATCCAAAATAAAAGTTTGTGTTCACATAATATGAGTGTACTGTGTATAATTAATTTGTATATAAAATTTAAGAAATATTTGCATGTATATATATATATATATATATATATATATAAATGTTTATATCTAAATGTTGGTGACTCTTACCTTCTTTTTTCTTGTTGTCGGAATAGGGTTGTCCGAACTTGATTCCTTTTCTCTTGAGGAATCTGTTATTTCTACTGGAGTGCATTGAGTGACCTGACAAAAAGACAGTGATTTGTCAAATGATCTCAACATAGAGCAGGGGTGTCCAGTTGTGCTCCTGGAGGGCCAGTGTCCTGCTCCAACCACACCCGAACCAGTTCCTCAAGGTCTTACCAGAAGCTTCCAGTCTGGTGTGTTCAGGTTGGAGCTAAACTCTGCCCGACAGTGGCCATCCAGGAGATATACTCAAATTGTCTTGATTTCAGTCAGTATTCGACATTTTTCACAGTGTGAAAAGCCATCGAAGTTAATAAAAACACGGACATTTCAAAATCAGTAAAACTGTATAAAATACAGGGGAGTTTAAGAACTGCAAAATCACTCAAAAGTTTGAGGTCAGTAAGGTTGTTTTTGGGGGGGTTTATGGAAGAAATTAATACTTTTATTCCACAGGGATGCATTAAATTGATCAAAAGTTAAATTTATAATGTAACAAAAAATATATATTTCAAATAAATGCTGTTTTTTTACTTTCTATTCAAATAATCCTGAAAAAAAAACGTATCTCGGTTTCCACAAAAATATTAAGCAGCACGACTGTTTTCAAAATTTATAATAAGAAATGTTTAATGAGCAGAAAATCAGGATATTAGAAAGATTTCTGAAGGATCATGTGAAAAACGGGAGGGAAAATTCAGTTTTGATTGACTTAAAATATGATATAGATTTTTTTATTTCACAAATTACACTTTTTACTGTATTTTTGATCAAATAAATGATGCCTTGGTGAGCAAAAGAGATTTTTAAATGATAGTGTACTTTGAAAAGCCAGACGGCAAGTTTTTTCTTTTACAAGTACCACCTCAATATACAGAAACAATATTATTGTTTTCAAAACATCATGCCAGTCATTTAAGAGGGTCACGGTTCACCCTGCTTCATAGAGAGAACACACACAAACACGAGATCCAGCCCGACTCCAGCAGACACACAAACACAACACAGTGCGTCTCTGAGCACGTACGCATGGCCGCAGTCATACGCAACTGACATAATTAGATTGAGAGGGGAATTAAATTAACAGAAAACAGAACTGTCATTCAGTGTACGTATTGTGAAAAGCTAGCATGGGGAGGGCTACTCAATTACAAGATGCCTGTTTGTGCAGTTTTATCAAGAGAGCAAATACAAATCTGACTAAATGACTTTATATATTTATTGATTTAGTGTTTAAGATGTGAACTTGGCACAAGCTACTGTAGATCTATTCCTCATCTTTCATTCAATGTTGTTCCTTAGGGCATAAGCAAACATCCTGTAGTCCACAAAAACACATTTTGTGGGATACTCAGGGGTGTAACTTTAACACCAATCGGAAAGACAAACACATGTAACGTCGGGGCCTTTGACGGGAACAACAATTCGATCCAAAGTCAACATGATATGAATATCAAGTGTTTTAAGTTCCCGGACGAGCCCCCGATTTTAAGTCCCAACCCCTTCTAATCATCTTGATGTGCTGTTAAAGAAAAAGTAACCCAAATGACTGCATTACTGGGCTTAAAAAAATAGCCTTTGACTGACTTAAGAACTGCATCATTTGTATTAAACTGAAAGCTGAGTCTTGTGATTGTACCTTTCACCTCAGGGTGAGTAGTGTTATTGGATTCCTGGCGTTTCTGAGTTGCTACGTCACTGGGATTTAACAGGGTTTGACACTATAAGTGCATATGACTATGGAAACATCCCCACACTTCTCAGTGTACCGTAGCAGGTTGCATATACTGCGAACGCACACACACACATACGATCAGCAGTACCTTGATCTTCTTGACACGTGGAGTGTGTGCCTTTGGAGCAGGATTGTAAGGCGGCATCTCTGCGTTTTCGGTGTTTGTGTTGGCCTCCTGGGAACAAAACAATACACAGGGATTCACGTGAGTCCACATGCACCCACTGACCACAGCAATGAAGCATCAGTGCGCATGACTGCTCTGCACATCAGGAGAAATTGCTTTCATGTGACAATTGAAAGTGAAGTGCAAATGCAAAAAAACAAACACTGTTGATGGTGGCAGAAGAGAGATAAGAGAGTGCGATGACATCTTGAAGTTTTGGAGAGTCAGTGCAGCCCGCAACAAAGCAAGGTCAGGGAGACACACGTGCCATCATGTGACAACCAGGATAAAGCACGAGAGAGTGGCATGTTTAGGGGTGTGTGAGTGTGGTGATATCAGTTGGTCTGCTCTACTGAAGGCATTTGACATACTGAGCCACGTCTTAACAAAATTCGGACATTGGTTGATCAACTACCTAAATGAAGAGGGGAGAATGGGATAGGGAAATGTGGCATTCAATTCAAACTTACATGAGTATATGACTTAAAGGAGTTCACTTTTAAAAAACCTTTAGTTGATAATTTACTCACCCCCATGTCATCCAAGATGTCCATGTCTTTCTTTCTTCAGTCGAAAAGAAATTAAGGTTTTTGATGAAAACATTCTTGGAATTTTCTCCATATAATGGACTTCAATGGGAACCAAACGGTTCAAGGTCCGAGAGACAGTTTCAGTAAAAACTGTTCAAAGGACGATTTCAGATGATGAATAAGGATCTTATCAAGCGAAACGATCACTCATTTAAAAAAAATAACAAAGTTTAAGTTTTATAAGCTCAAATGCTTGCCTTGCTCTGTTCTGTGATGTGCGTTTGTGACTCTCCTATTCGAACATCAAAATGAACAAATCATTTCCAGAGTCAACACGTTCATTTTGTTTGTTGAATGAATCAAATGACACGAAAAAAAAGATTCGTTCATTTTGATAAACGAGTTAGAACAGGAGAGTCACAAACGTTCATCACAGAACAGAGCAAGGTGACCATTTGAGCTTATAAAACTTACATTTTGTTATTTATTTATTAAATGAGCAATCGTTTCGCTTGATAAGACCCTTATTCATCGTCTGGAATTGTTTAAAGCCCTTTGAAGAGTTTGTAACTGTGTTTTGGACCTTGAACCGTTTGTTTTCCATTTAAGTCCATTATATGTAGAAAAATCCTGGAATGTTTATCAAAAAAATTATTTTCGACTGAAGAAAGAAAGACCTGGATATCTTGGATGACATGGGGGTGAGTAAATTATCAGCAAAAGTTTTTTTTTTTAAAGTGAACTACTCCTTTAAAGTTTAGAAACAGTGTTATTAACTAAAACTAAAAATACTAACAAAAAAATGTTTAATTAAATCAATTAAATGTTAACAGAAATAAAATAGAATACAAAATTATTATCAGTTATTTATGAAGGCAAAATTTCTAACTTTCTAATGCAAGTACTACAATGACTAAAACTGAAATAAAATTATAGACAAAAAAAGGGACTAAAACACAACAAAAGGCAACTTTCATTTGGAGTTGAACTACAAGTAGTAAAACTGATATTAATTATACATATTACAGACAAAAAAAACAATAAAACGGACTAAAAACAACAAAATTACTAAAACTAAAAATGAAATTCAAAAGGAAAATATAAAAAAAAAATGAATTCAAAACATTAAGATAGTATAGTTATGATACCACATAAACATTGTTTTCGAACCCCAATTTTATTTTGTTTGAATTTACTAATATTATATGCATTAAAGAGTATTCAGTTCCCTTGCACTGCCCATTTATAATTATTTCTCTTTTTTTCTCTAACACATATTTAGATGATTGACAACCAAAGGCAAGTGAAGTGCCAGTTTACTGGGAGTTAATGCATTGTGTCAACACTCACTTTGACCATGAGGACGTTTGGTCCCTTTTCAATCTGTCTTCTCTCCACCACAGACTCAAAGATGGCACTGTACTTCTGGATCAGCTTAGCCATAATACTATTACAGATATTCTGTTCCCGTATACCATCAAAACCAGGTGACACACTGCAGAATAAAAAGCACATACACAAACAGGCTGTGAAAACTACGTGTGAATGCTGCCAAATGAAATGATAAAATCAGGAACAATATCCCTTTTACAATTATATATGCAGTATATATACACAATATTATATATATAGGCAATATAAATTATTTTAAATAAATTAAATATATATATATATATATATTAAAATCAACCAAAAAAATGCAATAAAATCTGATTATATATTTTTTTAAAGTGTCCTCATGGTATCTAGGTTACACATCAGAGTCAAATTCAATTTATTGTTATTTAGGTAAAAGGTCAAAAAAAAAAAGATTACTAAGATAAAAAACCCTTGCACACCAAGTTCGAAATTTTCAAATACGTTTTTTTCGTATTCATGATTTGGTGGCTCTGAATTGTCGAACACCATTCAAACTGCTTGCGAAAAACGCAGAAAATCAAACCCGATCCGATTGTTTTTTATGATGGACGAAAGTTTCGGAGGCAAGCGTGACTGACATAACTTGAGGTCGTATTTATCTTTTAACGCTCGGATTTCGGACTTTCGGAAAATAAATAAATAATATTATTACCCTCAGTGTGTGAAGTCACAATGAGATAGGCCTACTACCCCATGACAGGAAAACATAAATATTTAAACGCTGCTCCTGTAAGGGGTCGCAGAGTGCTCGACTGACAGCTGGATTTGTGGTCTAATTATTCCTGACAAAAAGAACATGTCGTACTAGGGTACAAGTCGGAGAAGTATGTGGCTAAAACGGGCAACAGTTTTGTCACTTCCACCTCAATGAGCCATGGATACATACACACATCACATATCCACAAACGCTGAGGTGTCAAACACACATGCTGTGGTGACAGGGATGCCCTGAAACTGACTGGGTGGTATATTATTAGGGGTGGCGCTCATATTGCATCAGCTGGGAACTTACTTGGGGTTCGTCACTACTGTAACAGGTACCATTTAAACTATATTTAATCAATTATTTCAGTTAATTTCTTTAAAATCACATTACTTTAAGTCCAGCTTACTTAAAAAAAAAATACATTGAAAATATTTAACGGTGTTTGCCTAAATCCGAATATATAGTTAGTTGCATTCAACTCTGTAGGGGCAGATGGTCTCTCAAATAATCTTGGGCTGTTATTTGTCAGAGAAATTCACTTGTGAATAATCAGCCTAAATGTTTCTGTGACTGAAAATAACAACCAAAGAATTTATGACCATAGAAAGTATGTAAGTGCTATTTGTGTTAGCGCTGACATTGAGTGAAGAATTCAACCTGGGCTTTGGCCCCCTCTGTTGGAGTCAAAAGCCAGGATATAAGTAGAGATAAGATTTGCATAAAACATGCTTTATTACGGATACAATGGGAATTAAATCAAGATTTTAGGTTAAAATGTATAGGAATGTTCCCATCACTCACATTGGGAAAAAAAATAATCATGGTTTGGTATTTCACAATTTTGGCATGAACCGTTTCAATCATGTGAAAGTCATGTAAGACAAGTCATACTTTTTTTTTGTCATAATTTCTAATTAATATCATAAGAAAAAATTATGCTTTGGTAAATCATAATTATGTTGCAAAAATGGGCTTCAATATACCTTTATAAACTATTTCTTCAAACACACACCCACACACATTTATACAATATATATTAGTGCTGTCAATTGGTCTGACAATGCATGTGTTAACACATTCATTTTGACAGCCCTAATATATACACTCACCTTAAGGATTATTAGGAACTCCTGTTCAATTTCTCATTAATGCAAGCCAACCAACCAATCTGCTCAGTTACTGGGATTTTCACACACAACCATTTCTATGGTTTACAAAGAATGGTGTGAAAAGAGAAAAACATCCAGTATGCGGCAGTCCTGTGGGCGAAAATGCCTTGTTGACACTAGAGGTCAGAGGAGAATGGGCCGACTGATTCAAGCTGATAGAAGAGCAACTTTGACTGAAATAACCACTCGTTACAACCGAGGTATGCAGCAAAGCATTTGTGAAGCCACAACACGCACAACCTTGAGGCGGATGGGCTACAACACCAGAAGACCCCACCGGGTACCACTCATCTCCACTACAAATAGGAAAAAAAGGCTACAATTTGCAAGAGCTCGCCAAAATTGAACAGTTGAAGACTGGAAAAATGTTGCCTGGTCTGATGAGTCTCGATTTCTGTTGAGACATTCAGATAGTCAGAATTTTTTGAGAACATGGATCCACAATGGCTGGTGGTGGTGGTGTCATGGTGTGGGGGATGTTTTCTTGGCACACTTTAGGCCCCTTAGTGCCAATAGACATTGTTTAAAAGCCACGGCCTACCTGAGCATTGTTTCTGACCATGTCCATCCCTTTATGGCCACCATGTCCCTATCCTCTGATGGCTACTTCCAGCAGGATAATGCATCAGATCACAAAGCTCGAATCATTTCAAATTGGTTTCTTGAACATGATAATGAGTTCACTGCACTAAAATGGCCCCCACAGTCACCAGATCTCAACCCAATAGAGCATCTTTGGGATGTGGTGGAACGGGAGATTCGTGCCCAGGATGTGCATCCCACAAATCTCCATCAACTGCAAGATGCGATCCTATCAATATGGGCCAACATTTCTAAAGAATGATTTCAGCACCGTGTTGAAACAATGCCACGTAGACTTAAGGCAGTTATGAAGGCGAAAGGGGGTCAAACACAGGATTAGTATGGTGTTTCTAATAATCCTTTTAGGTGAATGTATGTGTATGCAAGTATGTAGATATAGATATATGTGTGTGAACAAAATCATTCATCACAGCAGAGCATTTAAACTATGCACTGGTATGTGGGGTTGGTCAGGTTTTCTGTGAAGTGTAAGTGCTGATCACTCCAAAATTCAGCCAATGAGAAGCAAGACTGAGAACATGACACCCATGTTACATAACATGCAGCTATTGACATTGGGCAGTCGAGACATGATTCACATAGCTTGCAGATACATGCACATACATGCTAAAATTATTCTGATTATTTCAGGGAAAAGCATTTACAGCTTTCAGAAATGAACCTGTGCAACAAAACTTAAATGTAAAGTTAGAGATTTGACTTGATCAGTTTCATTGGTTTGCTTGTGTTGAACTGTGCGACTGAGACTTACTTGAAGACGTTGGGCCCAAACACTGTGGCCAGGTTGGTTGCAGTCATGCGGTTATAAGTGTGTTCCTGTTCCACCTGGGACAGGAAGTGACATAGGTAATGCAGGAGACTGTAGTGGATATCTGGCAGCTGATGTAGGAGCTCACCCAGGTCCTTACAGAAGTAATCCTCATCAGATTCTGGCAGAAATATAACGAAGGGTTTGATTTTTTAAAAAGGAAGACATTCATATAGTGTCCAGTAAAGCTAAAATCTGAATCTTCTGAGCATATATTGTAAAAAATAATATTCTATTTTAGATGATTTTCAAATAGAAGCAGAACTCAGGAACAGTGGTTGGGAAAAAAGCTGGAAAACAGGAAGTGGCGACAAGTATTTTTTGTGGTGCTTTTAAGGTGAGTAGTAAATGTGGAAGTGCAAAAGCGGACTTAAAACTGATCTGTAAGAAGTAGGGGAAGTGTGACATGAAGAGAAAGGACCACGTCATGCTAAAGTCTCTAGTATAGACAGTTGGACAAAATGTCTGCTTCATAACCAACCACTAATAAAGAGAACCTCATTATGAGCATGGCTGTGTCCAAAATCACCCCCATATGCTTAAACTGGGCACTATTTGAGGGAACAGCTGTTTGTAGTGGTGTCCGAAACCAGAGTGGACATTATCAAGTGCACTCATTCAATCCCACAATGCACCGCATTAACAAGTGTGAAGATCCATTCATCTTCCAAACCGCTGGTCCAATGTGGGTACAGCGTAATATCATACAGGTATAAATTTTTCCTTTTTACTTGATTACTAAAGTGTTTGATTAAAGTTTAAACATGCTAGTTTCCATGACAGAGTTCAAGATGAATCATTTAATTTTTCTTTAATTATTAAACATTAAGCTAAAACTATGAAAAAGCAGCAGCCCTTCCGGCACTCAGTGTCCGAATTCACTAACTCGTTTTCATTCCCTCCTTCCAGTGAACTATATTAGTGGAGTAATGAAGGGAATGGTGAATGAGGGTATGTGGGTGATTTAAAACAAGGGGCAAAATGATGCAATTCTTTTAGCAATAATTTAACATTTCATTTGCACAAATATCTAAATATGTTAAAAGCTGTTAAAATGTGGTAAAATATAAATAAATTGGCAAATTCTTTTTAATAGAACAAATGATTTAAAAAAAAATACATTGCCAGTTTGAAATCAAATCCAAGATAACTGTCCAAAACAAATATGTCTTTATTAATCCTTGTTTTCTGGCACCCAAAATGCACCATCTGCGCAGGATATATAGCGTCTCACACATGCCACAAAAAGGGAGATTGGGACACCAACAGAGAGGGAGAGAGAGGAAAAACTGCAGCAAAACAAGTCTTTTGCCGTTTTTAATATGAAGCTGAGGCGTTTACAGTATCGATGCACTGCTGATCTCGGACACAAGACCACATTAATTAAGCAAAGTCTCCTTGTAGAGGTCAGTGAAGGATGATACAGTTGCAAATTCAATATTTTTTCTGATTTTAATGGATCCACTGGATGAGAGCCAGTAAAACAATGCTGTTTATTAAAGCCCTGTCTAATTTTTTACACCAATCAGAAGCCAAAATCCCTCATAGAGCTCTTCAAACAGTGTGAAAAGACATAAAGCAAGATTTAGAGCACTTACTATAATGCAGTTTAGATTAAACTTTAGACCGCTCTGCTCAGTCACAGGCCTGAAGTTGACTCATGTGCTTAAGATAGAAGCACAACCTTCACCCAAATCTTTTCAGTCGATAAACAGCTAACAGTTATGACTGGCACTTAACCGCTGACCTACTTTGCTGTTATGAATAAAAAAACATTTTATATGTAAATAATATTGTATAATATGTAAACATATCAAAAACGTTTACATGGGATGAGTATGAACTTTAATTCAACGTGTTACTTGCCATTTCTTTCTTTCAAAACGGTTTCTACACCGTTTTTTTTTTTTTCTACAACCTACAATATTTTGGTTACCAGCACAGAAGTTTAAAGGGATACTTCAAATTATTTTGAATTTGGAGCTTTCTAGACTGAGAAAAGCCAGAAAATGTATTTTTGGCTCATGTGGATGAAAGACAACAACTCCCAGAATGCACTTGCTTCGCTGCCCTAGGAGGCCACGCCTACCGGTAACAGAGCGCAGTAGTTAAACAACAAGTCTAGGCTACTAGTGATGAGTCTGCCCGAAAATGTGTTTTAAGGTTCGCCCGAAATGTCCGGGATTCGGCTTTTGCGTTCTACAGTCGCCATTCGTTACTGTGGCGAGCGGGACGAGTGAGGGCCGCGGGAGAACGACTCGAGGACGGTGGCGTGATTACCGATGAGCGACACCTGTGAGACGCATCGGTCTTGTATCTCTCATGGAGAAGCGGGAATTTTCTTAGCAATGTTAAATCGCACATCAACCGATCACTTGTTTAGCGTTCATGTAAACACTACATTCAGATTCACCAATTGGAATGAATTCAGTTTTAGATTGAAACAAAAGCTGTGCATATAAACAATGAATGTCGACTGCAGAAAGCAAAAGCTGAATCCCGGACATCGACGGTCGGACATGTCCGGGAAAAAAGTGGATGGCAACCCCTACAACTCCGCTTTCTCCACAGAACAAGAGCCTGCTAGCTTAGCTTCCAAAAAAAGATGGCCAAAACTATGTGTTCATTCTGTGAGTGAGATCCTCCCTCTATGGGCGGGTTGAGAGCATGCAGGACAGCCCTACTACTGACTGTCTTTAGTCTCAGGCCAAAAAAATAAATTTTTTTGGATCAAAAAATCCAAATGACGCAAATCCAGCCGATTTTTGCGTCATCGGAGGATTTTCTTCCAGACAAAAGAATACATAAATCTCTCGTCTCAGGGGGATATGAGGGTAGAAAGCACGGTAATCCAAAAATACTACAGGTTCTCTACTAATACAAAGCTTAATGCTAAATCCTGAAGTATACCTTTAAACACTATACCACACCACCCATGAATGAAAACTACAGGTGACTCACCTTGGTGCAGCTGAATGAGACGATTGTGGATGGAGGGATGGATGAGACCTTCAGGTAAATCCCTCAAAAACTGCTTGAGTAAACTGGCGACAGCAAAAGCGTCTGCTTCCTGATGAAGATCCACGTCTTCTCCAGCATCAAACCTCTGCCGCAGGTTATCCACTGTCCGAACACTGCCGTTTACTCTGAACAGACCCTCCTGACGAAGACCTGACAGATTGTGGCATCATAAGAGAGACGCAAACGTTTCAACAGCAAGTCATAAACAAAAGTATGCCACTCTTAGCTCAAATGAAGAGCTAATATCAATAAACAAAGATGGGAAGATATTTCAACGTAATGAAATATACTTAGAAATCAAGTTCATGTAAAACACAGGCTCAAAAGTAGAGACACACTGCCATGTTTTCTCGAAGGCCCAGTGCAGTGTTTGGTTGATCTGAAAGGGCACAGCGCCACCCAGTGGAGAACAAGTACAACTACAGATCCAGTTTGAATTTTGTTCAGTAGTATAACGCAAATATAATTAAAGATTTATTGCAGACATGGGTTTATATAACACATCATACAGTACAAAACGGAGATACATAAATAAAGATACATACATAAAAATTCCATATTAGCTTAGAGGATCGTCTTAACCTAGAAGTGTATCTATAACAGCTTTTCAGGGGACTGACTAGGACTTCAATTCTATGGCTTACTAAATGCCAAAAGAATTGAAGTTGTTCACTAAAAGCTGTTACTTTATTTCTTATAGTAGCCTACTGCCAGGAAGGAAAAAAAGACTCAGCCAACAGTCCACTAATTATACCCACACACACAGTATTCTTCAGGATTGAAAAAAAAAAAAAAAAAAAAAAAAAACTTTTTTTAAAGGTAATGTCAATGTAGACTACACAAACTTTTGGTCCTCTAGCGGTTAAAGAAAACAAAACCGCATTCATTTAGCAGTGGCTGTGCTTCGGCTCTGCGTGACTGTGTGGATGAATGACCCTGCTGTCACATTCACAATAGATAAGTATTTTAGTGCTACATATGGCAATTTATCCGTTCAATAAAATACCTCACTCACGAGTAATAAATAATAACGCCTTCATCTCCGTATCGCTTTTACAACATTTCAAATCCATTATCTCCGAAAAGCCAAGCCAATGTTGAATCTGGTTTTCTGTGGCGTTCGCTTTTTGCCAGCATACTCTCCTTTGTTTTTAACGGCTGATTCCCCGGAGCTTCTGGATTTAGCTCTTCTATCTCGATCATTCTAGCAGGTTTTGACAACTAACTAACCAAGCACTCATTAGATATGTACGCAATTTCCCACGAAGACCATCCCGTCAGCGTCAGGCCTAAAATGTAAATATACTGTAATAGGCTTACTATAGTAAATACAAATGGTAACACAAACACACGTTGTAGAAGAAAGATTGATGATGTATTTACTCATTATTTTCTTGATCTTGAGCAAAAAAAAAAGTAATATAGTGCATCTTTAAAATGTCTCACACTTCGAACTTTATCTAAACGATTTTAGATAATATTTTCCTAATTAAAAAAAACGTAAACATTTTCTATGACCTCAAATCAATTGAGAGATCATGACTATGTAAAATATTTATATCTTTAAAAATGCCCACAGCCCGAGAGAGCGCTGGTGCCGGAAGTAAATTTCCCATTCATTTCTCCCATTGACATTTTGTAAAATCCATATCTAAAGAGTATTAGAGCATGTCTGAGGATAATCAGCTACGGCTGAACTCGTAAGCATACAACACATCATTTCGAGTGAAAAAACGAAGAGAAAATGCAAAAAAAGTCGAGGGTACGGTACAAGCCTGTGTACATGTTTTCATTTCCGAGCAAAGGAACTACTCCTCCCATAAACCACCGCGCCTCACTGAAGTCGTCTGAAAACCACCATGAAAGAGCCTTTTGAGCGACTTCCAAATCTGACGACGGGCACGTGAACTTTTTCCTCCAGTGAATTTTATATAGTGAATGTACAGGGAAACCCCTTTTCCTCGAATTACTGAAGCAAACGCATTTGCAGCTCAACATGCAAAAACTTTGAGTTTCTGGCTCGCTCATTAGCTAAGCTGTGGCAACTGCACCAATGAACTTAGCCCTACGTCATCACGCGATCTTCAGTCTTCACGTACCTTCGCGGGGTTTCAGACACGTGACACGACTTTCACCAATCAGATGCATCAATGGATTGTGGGATTGTTCAGGATTTTGGGTAATGAAGTACTTATCCAATACATCGCGAATAAAAGGGATTTATCTTAAAACAAGGTTAGTGCCCCATGAACTTTTGGCGTTTATATGAGCACATACAATCGCTTAGTACAACCGTAGCTGGTTTTAAGTCTACCATGTATGGTTACGTTTTTATGGCTTATATCTCAAATGTCAATGGAGAAATTGTATTGAATTGTTACTTCCGGCACCGGCTGTGGGCGGGACTGTGATGCTCTTGATATTATAAAACAAAAGTCTTGAAAATACCCTGTTTTGGCCTAAATGTAAATTAACCATTGATCGTGTAAAATGAATTGATGATTGTTGATATATATTTTATGTTAACAACCATAGCAAGAGAAAAATATAAAAGGTCTAATATAAAAGAAAACATGCTGTTTTTTAAAAACAGTGTAGGCTATAATATAATGCAATGCTTGGAATCATATCCATTACATTTAAGTATTCTGCTATTTGTTATTTTAGAACCTGTTGCACCTCTGAAAACAATTATAATGTAAAATATTATAAATTGCCAAGTAACACTTAGGCCTATTTCAGACAACTGATAATTTCTTTGAAAGAATGCAGGCTAGATTATGACATGTTATTAGTTGCTTAAAGCATTATAATTGCTCACCAAAGAAAAACTCAGGTTACTTTTAATTCTTTATCATTGTCCCCAGATCAGATTTCTTTACACCAACACCTTGACACTCACCATGCTTTTCCAGATACTCCACCATACACCGGACCACCACAGGAACTCCGTCCTTGACAAGTCCCAGATCGCTCAACTTCACCAGGGACACGCCGAAGATCTTCTTTCCCCCAGAGCCGGTGGCCGGAGAGGGTTTAAGCATGGGCAACTGCACCATCTTCTTTACATCCTCCTTAATCTGAACCGCTGCCTTGTTGTGCTTTGAAAAGCAGAAGAGAGAGGAGCAGTCAACCACATCCACCGTCTGCATCATTAAGACCCCTATAGTCCATATATCAGCCTCTATACCCGAGACTTTCCCACTGCCAGTGTTGGTGGATCTGTCACTGGCAGGAAAAAGGAGGGAGGGAAGTTAGTGTGTGTGTGTGAGAGAGTGTCTACTTCAGCAGGGGTTGCCATGCACCTGTTACCAGGTGAGAGGAAACACACAGACTCAAGCTGACAGCTGACAATATATCAAACTCAGCTGTGGCCAGAGAACAGGGCTTGTTATGGTCTGGACTTTGGATGTTATGCTTTCAGGAAGTTACACTAATATGGTGAACAAATGTTTACAATGATATAAAAAAATGTAATTATTTTTCAATGAAAAGAGTTTGGTGAGACAATATAAGGTAACTGTAAACATGTTTATTATGTACAGTAATAAACCTATATGTATATATATATATATATATATATATATATATAGCTAGATCATCTCAAGACCAGCAAACCATTTATGAATCAATTATGAAGTGTCCAGTTGCATCATGAAAGAGTGCCTAACAAAAAGCTTTTTTCATCAAATATTTTAAAGTAACATTCATCAAAATTCATTCTATGCGTCACAGACATACAGATACAATGCACCCTTGATGAGTAAAAGAGCAACAGAATGTACAGTATTCAGAGGTTATTAGTCCTTCAGTAAAGGAGAAGGTTGCTGCTCATTCTGTGCTCTTCAGCCGATCTTCTAATTGGGTGTTCTGTACCAAATGTCCTTTTCCAGCAAAGCGTAACCCAGGCTCCATTGTGAACACATGTATTTATTTTATGCTCAAATGCATAATCAGCTCAAATACCAATGATTTCTGTTTCAATAGTAGAAGGATAGGGTCAGTGTAAGTTCAGGAGCCAAATCGGAGGGGACTATATAGAATAAAATAGTAATAGTAAAACTTCTATACAGTACATAAATCATTCTGTCTATGGAAAGTCCCCATAAAACATGAAAAAACAATGTGTGTGTGTAATACATGATATTATATATATATATGTATTAGGGCTGTCAAACGATTAATCGCAATTAATTGCATCTTTGTGTTTATGTGGGTGCACTGTGTATAATTATTTTGTGTGTGTATTTTATATATATATACATATACACACATGCATGTATATTTAAGAATTAAAATATTTATATTTATATATAATATAAATTATATATAAATCTATACACAGTATATACATGAAAATATTTCTTAAATATATACAAGCATGTGTGTGCTATATATAAAATAATTATACACAGTGCACCCATATATATTATGTAAACACAAACTTTTATTTTGGATGGGGATGCAAGATATATCGGCCACCATATCGGTATCGGCCGATATTTGTTCACTTTTATGTTATCGTTATCGGCCCGATATATTAAAGCTGATAAGTAATGAATCATTTCCTTCAACAGTTAACTTAAGATGCGCACTGTTCAACATGATTGATCTTAATTGCTTGAAATATGATTGGAATCAAAAAGGAAAACAAATATCGGCTACATGAAATTATAATGAGAACATTATAATTGTGTTAGGGAACGGATTTTAATTGTGAGACTTTTGTTTTTGCAATCAGGCTTTTTCAAAAAAATTATTTAAAAAAAAATGGATTTAGATTTATCAGCCGATATATCGGTTATCGGCTTTCAAATATAAAAAATTATCGTTATCGATATCAGCCAAAATGTTCATATCGGTGTATCCCTAATTTTGGATGCGATTAATCGTTTGACAGCACTAATATATAAATATATATAGAACAGTATTTAATTAGCATGGAAGCCCTATATCTCAGTATGCTTCCCAAAGTCCCTGAATTTGCCATTAAGAACATAAGCTCGTCTGAGCTACTCATGAGAGACCTACTACAGGAACAGATGTCCATGAAGTCACCCCTAACCCTCGCAACACTTCATACTCTATGTGAAAGGGCCACACGTGTGTTAACATTAACATACAGTCATGCTATTTACAGTCAATGAGAGAAACAAAGAAGTCGATGCGTAAGTTTCCATTACAGGTTCAGACAATGTCCTTATTACTTAATGACACCCCCTGCTTTGACTCTTGGGGGAGGCCAATGGATCTTCAACCCCTCCCCCACAGTCTGATAAACACACCTCAGTAAGCCCCTCAAATCACATGAGTTACTTCAACATAACATGTCTAACCTTGTCTACATCTAACTGAATAGTTAAGCTAGCTCAAAAACTAAACTCTATTAGGTTAGAAGCGAGTCTCAGCATGTCCATTCATATCTCACACGCATGCGTGCACATATGCAGTGTCAGTGTGTGTGGTCCTGAGAGCAACTGGTTGTAGCAATGAACGCTAACAACAGCTGCAGAACATCCATGCTACTATAAGGTAGAAACTAGCATATAGTTTACAACATTGCAGGAACAAATGTGCAAAACTGTTCCTTCAGAAGTTCAACAGCTTCCTAGCGGTAACGCTACCTTTAAAAGGACAACTTTGTGCCTTATCTACCCCTAAAGGTACATGAGGGCTTCAGAGTACCCTTACAGTCACAACTGTGGGCCTGTTAGGTGTAAACAAGGTAAAAATTTGTGCCCAGTTCCCAGTAACAAGCTGTTATACCCCTTAAGGTACACATTTCGGATGCTTTTCTCAATGCACCAAAGTAATGTTGATTTATATATAAAGTTTCACTGAAGCTGACAGAAGATGAGGAAAGAAGAAGAAGACTGAGAATAAATGACCTCAGTCTAGCGGATTTCACCCAGTTTAAGTCCAGGATCAAAGCCAGCACTTAATCACATTGATGTATGCAGAAACTCCTCAGTGTGTAAACACAAACACACTCTTTTAAACTAGCAGCCTTATATGGAGTTGACCAGCATGTTTTTTTGTACTTACACAGATGGTTATTGCTCCAGCCCCCATCTCCCTCTTCTTCCAGGAAGAGCCTGTGGTCAAACAGTATTAATTCCCCCAAATCCTTCTGCTTTCTTACAGAGGCCTCCTTAGCACCCCATAACAAAGTCCACAGCTCATAATGTGTTGTTTTTGTCCATCTTTGGACAGACTGTATGTATCAGAAAACTTCAGAGGCTAAGCAGAGGAGTCAGCCTCCCTTTCCTAAAAGCTCAGTGGAGTTTAGTGACTCCTCTCCACACCAGATGAAATCTGAGCCCTGCGCTCCAATTGGCTGGTGTTGTGAGTCACATGACCAGTTGGCCCAAACCTTTGAAAGTCTCCCCAAATGGGACAAAGGAAGGGAAGCTGCATCTAATACCAATTCACAACTTTTCTGTGTTGGTATGAGGGGCCTTTGGTGTCTGTTGAAAACATTTTAAAGAATAATTTAATTTCACGTAAACTTGTCTTTCTTTGCATGTGTTTAAATGTGTTTTACATTTACGGTAGGAAGGAAATGTACAAAATATCTTCATGGAACATGATCTTTGGAATAAAAGAAATATACCTGTGCTACTTGTGACTGGTTTTGTGATCCAGGGCCACTTAATGAAAAATAAAAAAGGTAATTGCGACTTTTATCTCACAATTCTGGCTTTTTTCTAACAATTGCGATTCAGAATTTTAAGATATAAAGTCAGAATTGCGAGATATAAAGTCAGAATTGTGTGATATAATAAAGTCGCAATTGCGAGATATAAAGTCAGAATTGCGAGATATAAAGTCAGAATTGTGTGATATAAAGTCAGAATTGTGTGATATAAAGTCGCAATTGCGAGATATAAAGTCAGAATTGCGAGATATAAAGTCAGAATTGCGAGATATAAAGTCAGAATTGAGAGATATAAAGTCAGAATTGTGTGATATAAAGTCGCAATTGCGAGATATAAAGTCAGAATTGCGAGATATAAAGTCAGAATTGTGTGATATAAAGTCGCAATTGCGTGTTATAAAGTCAGAATTGCGAAATATAAAGTCAGAATTAATTAATATAAAGTCGCAATTGTGTTATAAAGTCAGAAATGCATGATATAAAGTCGAAATTGTGTGTTGTAAAGTCAGAATTGTGAGATATAAACTATTCTGAAGGGGGAAAAAGTTAGTCTTTTTCCCCATAGAATTGGCCTGATAACTCGAAATTGCGAGTTCATGTCTCACAATTCTGAGAAAAGATGTCAGAATTTCAAGATATAAACTCAGAATTATGTCTTATGAAGTCAGAATTGTGAGATAAAAAGTCCCAATTCTGTTTGGCTTTATATCTCGCAATTGCGACTTTATTTCTCAGAATTGCAACTTTATTTCTCACAATTCTGACTTCATATCTCGCAATTGTGAGATAAAAAGTTGCAATTTTTTATTATTTTTTTATTCAATGGCGGAAACAAGCTTCCATATATGCCAAAGGATATGATCAAAGAATTTTTTTAGAAACAATTTACCCTACATTATCCATGGCTTATTATTGCTGATTTATGAAGGAGGGGAAAAAAAAATAAACAGTGCAAATAAGTACTGAGTATGAATGTAATCTGGACGTACTATATTCACTATGTTGTCATTATCACGTGATCTAACAGCGTCAGTTGCGTCGCTTCACTGTCATTCATAAATCTTCTCCCGTGGCCTCATGGGATAGTAAAGAGTCCATCGAATAGACAAATAGATCTCGCCGGAAGTCGTAGGTCTTTTTGCTTACTCTTTTTAGAGTACTGTGAATTCTGACACATCATCAGTCATTTCCTGCAGTATTGAGAATACAACCTGCAACTTTCATGTTACAAGTGTGACTCTCTTAGGACACGACTGCCCCATAGGTAAAAGAGGAGATTGTTTATTAGAGTATGAAATCAGGAGCAGGAACCACTAGAAGGAAGTACAATCTCAGAATTTAAACTGACATTTCCAGTTAAGCATTAACACACCTGAAGGACATTACAAAGTTTGTTCATACAATAGCTTTTTCTCAAGCGTCATTCCCCACAGGCTGATTCCAGGAGGTCCATTGACAGAAAATAATATACATTACTACACTCGAAAAACATTTAGACCTAAATTTAAGATTAATGTAATTGAATTGCATAGAAAATGTGCATAAATTTGGATTGTACTAACATAAACCAACTAATAACTTGCTTTTTCTACATTAACAGGTAAGTTTTTGTAATAGCACTAATAAACCTGAATGTTATAACCAGGATTATCATCAATAAATCCAAATTGTTGTATATGATAACCATATTTTGCCCACGTTCATACTTTATAACAGATTTATGCTGATTCTCAGAAATCTCAATTATTATTATTTTTTTTTGAGTGCAAAAATCTTACCAGTTTATGTATAACTGACAATTATACATCAAGTTTAACAGTTTTTGTTAAAACTGGAAATGTTATATTCAATTCAAATACATAAAAATACACATAATTAATAGTTATTAGTCCAAGTACTGCTTGAAACTTTTTCATCAAGGTCAAAGGGCACAGTATAACCCAGCATTCGCATCTTAATCACCCTCACAACAAATGCATCATTAATGTTCTCTGATGCTCACTAATCACTGAATAGCAACTAGAACAAATGACAACAGATGCTCAACTAAATGAATCAACTCAGATGAACAGTTCATTATTCCTCTGAGCTCTCTCATTCCCCGTGCCTGTTACGTAACCAACATCTCTGGCAGACTCGGGTTTGGGTCTGATCTTGCGTAACCGTTTTGGCCAATCGCATCAGGGTGATGTCATTGGTGAGGTCTTCATAGAGAGCAACAGTCGGGTTCCAAAAGTAAAAATGATTGTTGAACACAATAAGGCTGATCATAGTGGAAGTTTTTAATAAACACTGACACAAACTAAAATAGTTACACAGAATATAATATGGTAAATTCATGACTTGTCAATAGGGTATGATTTTACCCAAAACTACAACATATCTGACAAAAATGTACAGTCATTCGCACAACTTTCCCACTTTAGATGTGTTTTTTAGAAAAAACAGCCGGACTGGTGGTCCAGTGTCCTTGGAACCCCTTTTCCTGGTTGGCATCATTACTGAGGAAGCGGATGATGGCCTTGTCCCCATTGACAGTTAAAGATGGTGGGATAGAGCCACAAAATTTGCCTGAATGAATAAAATAAGCAGGATGCAATATGACAGTGGAAAATGCAGCCGATTATAAAATCAACAAAACATTTACTATGCTATGGTTTATAATCATACCTTGTGATGACCCAGCAGCATCAAAGACCTCCACATAATCCACACACTGGACCAGCAAATTAACAGCCTGCAGTTCAAAGTGAGTGAAGACGATATGGATTGCAGTGGCCGAGGGGATGTGGATAGTCCAGGTGCACACCGCTTGGCTTGGGTACTCATTGGGCCAGTTGGGTGATTGGAGCTCCCCCTTTTGACTGGTGAAGAGCCCACCGCAACCAACAGCAGCTGGAGACGTACAGAAACAAGGTGGTCCAAAGTTTGGAAATGAGGAGAAGTGATGTTATTTTGAATATATTCATTTACATGTTGGTTGTTATAGAGTTGCTATGCTCAAATGAAATTTGATCAATGGTAATACTGACGCTTGTCTTAGTAAACACCACTGACCATAACCCAAATCTTTAGCATAAAATGTATTCAATGGAATGGCAATATTCTCTCAGGGGGTTTGCTTTTTCACTCACTCTCTATGTCAGTAGGATCCACTGCTTTCCATGCGGCACTGAACCCTGAGTCCACAATTTTGTCATTGGAGGAGAAACTGATAGTCAGTGTGTCTCCAGCCGTGACTAGATCTCTCGGAGGAGATGTGCTGCAGTGGGTACCTGAGGAAAAAAAGGCAGGATGCAGAGTATATTATATCACATACACATTTCCTAAACACTACGGCGGGCATCTAAGGGCACACTAGTATATTTGGATATGCCACATGGAATATGGCTACCTAAAGTCCCGATGTTATCACTGAGAGTGACTTTGTCATTGAGGCAAAGTGAGGTCTCCTCCAGGGAGAAGTTGCTAAAGTGAAGGAAGATGTTTTTTCCTGTGGGTACACGGATATTCCATCGACAGGAAGCTCTATTACTGTAACTATATGGATGATCCATTGATGCCAGCATGCCTTCCGAGGCAACCAGATCCTTCAGTCCGCCACAACCAGAACCTTGAAAAGAGAGAACCTTGCTTTTTAAAATACACTCTAAAATCTTCAACTGATTCCAAAAGAATCAAGATTCTCGCGACCAGCGATGCTAACGTACATACCGATGCGGTCATAGATGTCTTTGCGAATGATGTTCTCAATCCAGGGCAGGTAGGCAGAGGAACGAGTGAAGACGCTGGGCTTCTTATCAAAGACACAGCCGATTGGACCAAAACTAGTAATGCCATGCACCTCCCAAGGGGCCGTGGGGCTGTCTTGGCATACCAATGGTCCACCCGAGTCACCCTTTCACATTAAATTAATGTTATGAGCACAAGCTAGTAAGAACTGTGTGCGTAAACCTCACTCCCCTGGCCTCAAGATGCGCAGACAGAAGTCTTTAGCGTCCTTGTTAGCACACTCGCCTCCCATGTGAGAAATTTGGTGCCGTGACCCAGGTGGGAGTGAGTTTTGTGGGGTATGTGTAATGGAGGAAAGCTAGTATGAGCTGTGTGTGTAAACCTCACGCCATGGCCTCAAGGGGCATACTAGCGACTGGCACTAGAGACTGTGGTTATTAGCATCTTTGTTAGCATGCCCGCCTCCAATCCGGAGACAGCGGTTCGAATCAAGTAGGATTGGTTAAATTTGGTGCCGTGACCCAGATGTGAGTGAGTTTTGGGGGGTAAGCGTAATGGAGGTAAGCTAGTAAGAGCTGTGTGTGTAAACCTCACGCCATGGCCTCAAGAGGCATACTAGCGACTGGCACTAAAGACTGCGGTTATTAGCATCCTTGTTAGCATGCCTGCCTCCCATCCGGAGACAGCGGTTCGAATCAAGCAGGATTGGTTAAATTTGGTGCCGTGACCCAGGTGTGAGTTAGTTTTGGGGGGTAAGTGTAATGGAGGTAAGCTAGTAAGAGCTGTGCGTGTAAACCTCACTCCCCTGGCCTCAAGAGGCGCACTAGCAACTGACGCTACAGACTGCGGTCTTTAGCATCCTATCATGCCCTCAATC